CCGTATACTCCTACACACTGACGCACAACACCCCTACAGCTACACACTGATCCACACCAGGGAGACGCTCCTGATTTTCGAAATGAATATAAAACAAAAGACAAAAATCGGCTCCAAGAAGCAACATTTCAGATGAACCAACATGACCGCGTTTCGGATTGGTCCTAAATTGTGACGTCACTACACGTGTCGTCACCTCCGGTACGCCACTCCCACGACGTCACGTGGCGTCCATTTGGACCGCACGCGACGTCCACACTTTGCTTAAGTTACGATGGAGGCGGCGACCCGGGTGTTGACACAAGGCCCGCAGCAGCCTCAATTACCAATCGAGCAACTCGGAGTGCCTCGCCAGGAATGTAACCCCGGGTCACCGGGGTCAGAGAGCAGTGCGCTCCAAACGTACACAGAGGCCAAAAGACAAAGATCCCCCGTATAGCCTGAGCAGACTGTTGGGGCAAGTGCTGTTAGCGAGCACCTATGAAGACGGGAATGGTACACGAGGGGGTTGGGTGGCCAGCACCACGCTCGGCCGCCTTTGTCTCCCCAGTGGTGATGTTTACACACCGCACCAGGTACTCATTTGAGGCTGAGTCGACTTAGGGGAGGCCCAGGACCGGTTCAGATAATCGTCACTGGTGTTGGCCGTGAGTGGGAATGGAACTCGGGTCGCCGGGTTCGTAGCTCAGCGCGCTAACCGCTACACTATCGCTCCACACCACACAGAGACCGTACCCTAACACACAGCACACGTCCCACATTGCTCGGGCTTCGATGTCATTGTCATCATCGGCCACCATCGATCCACTGCTGGATCAAAGCCTCCCTCCCAAGTCGCGGCCATCTCTCGCACGTGCACTCGAGATGATGTCATCGCTTCATCTCCTCCCGGTCGACCTCCTCCTCTCTGTCGCGTTCCATTCCTTGGCTGCCACTCCATCACTATTCCTAGCCATCGGCAATCGTCCGCCCCTTTTTAAATCCTTTATATTAAGTTCGCTTGCTTGCGTGCTTGCGTGCTTGCTTGCTTGCTTACGACCGTGCAAATCTTTCGGTCGTTTTTTTAACCCACTTCCCGTGATCCAATCGAGCTGACATTTTGCACACAGACTCGTTGTGCGAGACAATTAAGGTTCGTGAAATTTTTTTTCCAAAATTTTACACTGTTTAGGGAAAACAAATTAAATATTTAATTACCAATTGCTTAATACTGGCAGACAATCATCTGACCCATAGGTGGCAGCCATCTCAAGCCAGAGGACGAGAGGACTCTAGCCGCCACGCATATAAAGGATTTAGAGTGAAAACTTTGTTTTTACGGGTTATACTTATTAGCCATGACGTGTCCTGCCCAAATCCACTTAAATCACCAAACAGCGTTTGAAAGTTGTCACTAACCTGCGCATTTTCTCTAAACCGCGTGTTCCTCATTCTGCCTTTCAGTGCGATCTCAAGTGCACGTCTGTTCATGAATGCTTCCTTACAACACTTGTTTGACACTTGCCATCCCACGGCTCGCCAACTCCGTTGCTATTCTTATCCATCAGCGATCATCCATCCTTTCCAGTTCACGACGTGTCCTGCCCAACCCCACTGCAGAATCTGTATTTAGACTGCAGCGCTTCGCTTCTCTGAACAGTTTTCACTGATGTCATTCATCTGCAAATGTTCCCCCCCTAATCATCTGCCCACTACACCGTTTCCAAATATATGAAAGAGCTTTTTTCCGTTTGTTTTTTCCAGTAGACCATCGCCTGTCACGTCTGTCACGATGCATGCCGTGATCTCTGTGTCTGCTCTGCGTGGGTGTCACGTGCCCCGCGAGTGTTGTCACCGGACACTGCACCAGACTGGGTGGGGTTCCCCCAGGTGCATTGTGGGGACAACAGTTGCCCCATGGCACTGTTTACAAACACGGTCGCAGGCCCCTGTATTCTCTCCAGATTTAACAATCATAATAATCATACTAATCTCGATTTTATGAAGCGCGTTTTTATCTATATGAAGTAGCTCAAAGAGCTGTACATCAAAATAAGACTGCACTCACACGTGTAGATGTAATCTAAGCGAAATAGAAAACTGATAATAACAATATAAATGACTACACTCGAAATTGCAATGAAATTAAGAACCATTGTATAAGCGAATAATAACAAAACGGAAAAATATAATCAGACGTTTTTTTCATATCTCAAGTTACGGGGGTAGCCTTACAAGTAGGTGAGTTTTAAGACGCGATTTAAAGGGCGAAACGGACTCAAAACCCCTAACGGACCTAGGAATGGAATTCACACAATCGCGAAGCTTGGCTGCAGATGGCTCCGTCTCCCATAGGACAACAACACCACCACCACCACTACGGCCGTGTCTTTGGCATGACGAGTAGACCAGAATCGCCAGACCTATTCAGTATTCGCACCAACACCACCACCCGGGGAGCGGCAGCACTGCATGTTCGAAAGATCTCAGCCTTCTCCGGACACACCGGCGCAAAATCACCCAAAGCGTCGGCCACATTTCCGTGTTAGAACTTCGCCGAATCAAAATGTGTTGGCCACGCCAACAAAGGCGACGGGCGAAACGAGGAAGGGGTGGGGGGGGAGGTTTCGACCTCATCAGGACTCATCAGTCCGTTCACCAATGCTCGCTCGCTGCCTAACTCACACCGTTGGCAATCTCGATTCCGCGTTGGAAATTCCACGTTCCCGTCACGGTCTCAACGACAGCGTCACCCAGAATGCGCCCCGAACCCATTGATGCTCCCACGAACCTGCCCCACACGCTAAGCCTGGAGAGCGCTTGTACCGGCGAATAGCATTGCACGATATCGGCTGCTGTGGGGCATTGCCATCAGCAGAGGTATGTTGAACCTCTTTCGCACCGTACGTAGCCAACCGCGCTAACCGGAGGTGATAATCGGTGACAGTGGAGCGAAACGTCGGACATCAAAACTTGAGCATGCCCCCCTCATTTTGATCTTGTTTTTACACGTGCGTCTTCATTGTATAGGTGGGCGGGCGGGGGGGGCTACGACCTTCGTTTAATCTACAATGCAAAGCGTTGCTATGCCCTTCCTTAGTGGTGGGGGGGGGGGCGTGCTTCTTACTCCGAGAAGTAAATTGAAAGTCGAAAACACAACCGGAGGGCAGACGGCCAGCGCATGCGAAGTCAGCCCTCGGGCGACGATAAATGAGAAAAAAATTAACCCGTAAAAACAAAGTTTTTCACTATAAATACTTTATATGCGTGGCGGCTAGAGTCCTCTCGTCCTCTGGCTTGAGATGGCTGCCACCTATGGGACAGATGATTGCCTGCCACCATTAAGCAATTTGTAATTAAATATAATTAATTTTTTCCTAAAAATTTTTGGAGAGAAAAAATTTCACGAAAATAAATTGTCACGCACAACGAGTCTGTGTGCAAAATGTCAGCTCGATTGGATCACGGGAAGTGGGTTAAAAAACGACCGAAAGATTTGCACGGTCGTAAGCGCGCAAGCAAGCAAGTGAACTTAATATAAAGGATTTAAAAAGGTCCGCCACGAATGACGAACGCGGCTCCGTCTTCACAGACGGGCGGCCTCGTGGTCTTTGACGCTCACTGACCAGGAAACATTTAACCACCCCCCCCCCCCCCATCGAACTGCCAAACGGACACGTGTTGAGAGCCCGGCAGCATGGACGTGAGTGACACCCGCCTCCTCTCCCGGAGCCCCCCATGTCCTCAAATTGCCCTAACCCTCTTACGCGCGTGCGTGTGCTAAGGCTATACGGGGAATCTTTGTCTTTGTTGAACTTGTGGGGAGCGGTGGTGTAGCGGTTAGCGCGCTTGCGCTACTGAACCTGGCGAGCAGAGTTCGATTCTCGCTCACGGCCATTATCTGAACCGGTCCTGGGCCTACCCTAGGTCGACTCAGCCTCAAATGAGTACCTGGTGCGGTGTGTAAAAACATCGCCACTAGGGAGACAAAGGCGGCCGGGCGTGGTGCTGGCCACCCACCCCCTCGTGTGCCGTTCTGACCTTCATAGGTGCTCGCTAACAGCACTTGCCCTAACAGTCTGTTAAGGCTATACGGGGGGTCTTTGTCTTTGCTGAACTTTCGCAACCTACGCAGCCAACCGCACTAATCGGAGTTGCCGGGGGTAAGCAGAACGAACTAAACACACACAAACAAAATCTGTTTTAAAGAAATTAGTTATTTTTCGATCCAGATTAACCACCGTCATCGACACTGCGATTCTCACATTCACACATTCGCAAAGACAAAGGTCCCCCATGTAGCCTGCTTAGGCTGTTGGGTTAAAGCGCTGCTAGCGAGCACCTGTGACGAACAGGATGGCGCACGATGGGCTGGTGTGGCTAGAACCACGCCAGACCACCTTTGTCTCCCCAAGCACTGCATTCAATCTCACACCGCACCAGGCAGAGGGGAGTCCCTCCAGGACTGGTTCGAAACTTCGCCACCCGTTGCTGGCCGCGATCGGCAATCGAACTCCGCTCGCCGGCTGCCGCTTAACCACTGCGCCACCGCTCCCCCCATTAACGTGTTAACAAAGACAAAGATCCCCCCTATAGCCTTAACAGACTGTAGGGGCAAGTGCTGTCAGCGAGCACCTATGAAGGCCGGAACGGTACACGAGGCGGTGGGTGGCCAGCACCACGCCCGGCCGCCTTTGTCTCCCCAGTAGCGATGTTTACACACCGCGCCAGGTACGTATTTCCGGCTGAGTCGACCTAGGGGAAGCCCAGTACCGGTTCAGATAATCGTCACCGGTGTTGGCCGTGAGCGGGAATACGAACCCGGGTCACCAGGTTCATAGCGCAGCGCGCTAACCGCTACACCACCGCTCCCCACAACTCGTTAACATTAAAAAAAATTCACATCCTCACTAAGGCAGCAAATCTCCCACCAGAACCCATCGCGCACCCTTATCCGCGTAAAACCGCGCAACAAAACCACCACTCCGCGCCCCATCCCGGCTCTCAAGTCTAACCCATACCTGGGTTCCTCGTGAGGTCGGGGAAGGTGGAGGGGGTCTGTGTGGCTGAGATGAGCACGGGGGTCTGGGTGTGCCTGACGGCCCCTTTAAGCCTCGGGCCGCTCCTCCCGCCGCCCTCTGATTGGACGCGACAACTTAGCAACTGACTCATGCCCATAGGCTCCCTCACAATGTGCTTCGTAAAAAAGAAGTAAACATCGTTTGGTTAACGCCACCCGCTCGCTCCTAATTTCGTGGCTGCGGGGGGTGGCGACGGGGGTGTTCAACGTCCTCGCCTTGCTGTGCAGGGAGGTTTCGTGGGTTCGATAGCGACGCTGGTGCCTGCTGTGTATATTCGGTAGTTGGCGGTGTGTGTGTGTGAGTCTCTCTCTCCCCACCGTGGGTCGAGTGGATTTTTCTCCGGGTGATTCGGTGGGGAAGGGGGGGTGTTGGTTTCCGTCCACGTTTTAAAATCGACGACACGCGTTTAGAGCGGTGAATTTGTGGCCGATATCAAACGTTCAGGACGATCAGCCACTTGGATGAGCCATCGTTTGTGGCCCAAAGTCGCTTCTGAAAAAGAGCCACGTAGTTTAACAAGTTTAACACGTGGACTTTCACGACCGATATCATCCATAACAGTGTTTTTTGGGAAGTTAGATTGCATATTTACACGATCTAACCCCCAAAAAACCTCTATTATGGATAGTTTAACACGTAGACTTTCGCGATCAATATCATCCATAAAAGAGTGTTTTTTGGTTGGGAGGTTATATAACGTACATCTATAAATGTGTTGTTAAACCTGCCACCACCCAACACAGCCAATTATCAAGGTTTGTCACGTAAACAGAACGTGCCAATTCGTTACTAGCTCAGCACACCGGTTGCGTGTTGGAGAGTTAACCCACACGATTTATAATTCGATTACGACGTTTCGCCAGTAATTACAACCAACATCATCAGGCGACCGCCAGATTTGTGGAGAAATCCTCCTGTTTCGCCTGATGATGCCCGTTGTAATTACTGGCGAAAACTTCGTACTCGAATTGTAAATGTTGTGGGTTTGCTCTCCAACACGAATTGGCATAGTTTTGTTTATTTACGTGACAACCCCTTACTAATTGGCTGTGTCGGGTGGTGGCGGGTTTAACGACACATTTTATATTTCCACGATCTAATCTCTATTATGGATGATATTGGTCGCGAAAGCCGACGTGTTATACTCTAGATTTGAAGTGTTCGTGACTGCAGGGATCCATACTCTTTGGTTCTTTCGGTAAAGTTACGTAGGTATAATTTTAAAAAAATATGTAACTTATTTAATTTCATTTAAATGTTTATACCTACGTGACTTTACCGAAAGAACCAAAGAGTACGTGTTATACTGCACGTGTGATTGCTGTAAATGTCCACGTGACAAGCCACTTCGTTGAGCTATTATGTCTGATTTCGATTTAAAGCTTTCGTGACTGCAGGGATTCATCTTCTTGGTTCTTTCGGTAAAGTCACGTAGAAGGGAAATAATAAAATAATAAAAATAAAACATAATAAAATAATTCTCACGACGTTTCGGCCACAACGCAAGCAGCCGTCCTCAGGTGAAAACCAGGTCTGTCGGGGAGACAGCGTCTGAATGAAACAGCACACGAGCTTGGAGCATATATATATAAGCTGGGTTGGGAGGGGAGGAAAGGGCGCTTCGACAAAATAATTTGCATATCAAGAGGAATTTAGCATATTTATGGGAAATGCAGGAATGTGATTAGTACTACATATGCCCGTGCATTATGCAGGATTATCAGCATCCAAGGGAAGGGATATGGGAAATGCAGGTATGTGAATAGTACTAATTATGCCCGTGCATTATGCAGGATTAGCAGCATCAAAGGGAGGGGATAGGGGTAGCATTAATTAAGGGAAGGAGTGTTATGTCTGGCCAAGGTGGTCGCTTCTGAAAAATAAGCTACTACATACCTCAGTGGGGCCTTACCTGGTAAGATAATAAATAAATAAAAAAACACCTGTGCCGCCACACGTGTGTAGGAATCAGTGTCTCTTCGGCCGCGACCGGCCCTGCGATTGTCAACTTCACGCGAAATTTCATTTCACACGACCACCGGTGGCTTGGTAGGTGATGCGGCCCTCCGAGTTGACAGCGGTGCGACTGAGTTCCAACCCAGAGCTCACAGCTGCCTTGCACAGCAAACTTGAATCTGGGATTGTCTAACGGGCCTCTGCAGTTTTCCGAAATCCAAAACATTTATCTATCGGTGCAAGTGGGGCAGTGAGGCAAGTGAGGAGGCTTCCATATTAGGGTACTGACAGCGAGTGCCAAGGGGTTAAAGCGGGGGGGGGGGGGGGTCGGCAATCTGGCCTTGAAATGCTTACATCTCTCTCGTATTCCCACTAGAAGCGATAATCTGAGATAAGTCTTTAAATGTAAGTGTGCGCCCCCCTCGCGCCATCAGCACGTGTGTCGGTACGACAACCCCCCCTTCCCCCTCGCCAAGGTGTACGGCAGCGCCACCTGGCTCTGTTGTCAACCAGTTCCCGATTGTGTCTGTGCGTGTGTCTGTGCGTGTGTCTGTGTTGTATTGTCTGTGTGTTTCTGTGCGTGTGTCTGTGTTGCATTGTCTGTGTGTATCTGTGCGTGTCTGTGAATGTGTCTGTGTTGTATTGTCTGTGTGTGTCTGTGCGTGTGTCTGTGTTGTATTGTCTGTGTGTATCTGTGCGTATGTCTGTGCATGTGTCTGTGTTGTATTGTCTGTGTGTCTGTGCGTGTGTCTGTGTTGTATTGTCTGTGTGTGTGTGTCTGTGCGCGTGTCTGTGCGTGTATCTGTGCGTGTGTCTGTGTGTGTCTGTGTTGTATTGTCTGTGTGTCTGTATCAGTGTGCGTGTGTCTGTGCGTGTCTGTGTGTGTGCCGCGTGGAGCGGTGGTGTAGTGGTTAGCGCGCTGCGTTACAAACTGGGCGACCCGGGTTCGATTTCCGCTCAAGGCCAACACCAGTGACGATTATCTGAACCGGTCCTGGACCTCCCCTAGGTCGACTCAGCCTGAAATGAGTACCTGGTGCGGTGTAGTAAACATCGCCACTGGGGAGACAAAGGCGGTCGGGCGTGGTGCTGGCCACCCACCCCCTCGTGTACCGTTCCGGCCTTCATAGGTGCTCGCTAACAGCACTTGCCCCTAGTCTGTTGAGGCTATACGGGGGATCTTTGTCTTTGTGTCTGTGCGTGTGTCTGTGTGCCTGTGTGCGTGTCGCGGGAGCGGTGGTGTAGTGGTTAGCGCTACGCTGCGCGACAAACCGGGCGACCAGGGTTCGATTCCCGCTCACGGCCACGAACACGAGTGACGATTATCTGAACCGGTTCTGGGCCTCGCCGAGGTCGATTCAGCCTCAAATGTGTACCTGGTGCGGTGTGTAGTAAACATCGCCAACTGGGGAGACAAAGGCGGCCGGGCGTGGTACTGGCCACCTACTCCCTTCGTGTGCCGTGCCGGCCTTCACAGGTGCATCTACTCGCTAGTAGCACTTGCCCCAACAGTCTGTTGAGGCTACACAGGGGGGATCTTTGTCTTTGTGCTCCCAATCGAGTAATTTGCAGCGTAATTGTTCAGCGTTGGGATGTTTTGGGCCAATGCGACTCGTGGTCTTTGGTTATTTCGGTAACTTCACGTAGGTAGAAAAAATAATAGATCACGACGTTTCGATCGCAACACACAAGCAACCGTCATCAGGTGTGAAACAAACACAGCAGGAGGACTGCTGTCGGAGGATTTTTGCGTTGCGATCGAAACGTAGTGATATATTATATTTTCCACCTACGTGACTTTACGGAAAGAACCAAAGAGTATGGATTCCTGCACTCACGAAAGCTTCAAATCAAAATAGAACAACTCGTGGGATGAAACCGGAGAGTGCAAAAGTTTTGGCCCAACACCGGTTACATCGGACACGTGCGTCGCTTAGCGATGGGATGGAGGGAAACCGCTCGAGCCCCGAGTTAGATCCGTGCAACACAACAGCAGCAGGGGAGAGAGAAGAGAGAGACACACACAATTAACTAACTCCACACGCGAATATCACCACCGCCGCCACACGAAACCACCCCGAGGGAGATTCCCCTTCGGGGTGGTTTAGGGTTGTAACACAAAACACAAAAGTAAAAAAAAACTTGCCCAAAAAAATTATGGGAGCGATGAACTCGGTTTATTTGTAAGGTGCCAAATACGTAGATTGTCACGACGCACGATCGTGAGAGATGCCAATGGTATGCGGGGGGGGGGGGGGGGGGGGGCGAGGGAGGCCTTCATCCAGCAGTGGATTGATCAGGGGGCAATAGAATCAGGAATCGCACGGAGGCGTTGCCACCCCGAGGGTGATCCGCTAAACCCTCGCGGGCCACCGCTCGCACTCGTCGACTGAGTGCGAGCAAACGCGCGCAGTCCCCCCCCCCTTCGCTGCACGAATTCCAGACACAGCGTAGCCGCACCACACAAATAGCGCCCGCGAAATCCACCGAGGCGGAGGAGGTGCAGGAGCGTATTTAGGTTTCCTCTGCCCCAAGGCACGGCTGCCCCGAGTGCGGATGGATGTATTTTTATCCCGCAGCTGTGTGGCGGAGGACCTGGGTCTATGTTGGGCGGCGGCAGGCTGTCGGGCTTACCAACAAGCATGGCCACGGCCGTAACTCTTGTGTGTACTGAACTTCCTTCGCGCCGTACGTAGCCAAGCGTGCTAATCGGAGGTGCGCGGGGAAGGACGACAGCGAGGTCCTGACCTGCACACCACGCGGGCGGGGACATGCGTCTCGCGCCGTCTTCGAACGAGCGCCGTGAGAGTGGGACTCCCAAGGTAACGGATTAAGCTGTCGCCACTCGGTGTCTAGGGGCAACTCACGCGAGTATGAATCGACCGTGACTTCTTGCTCTGTATGAGAATTGAGACCAGGACCAGCAATAGAGGGGCGCTGCTGGGGTGTCCCTTGGGCTACCAGATGTCCCTCAGGCTACCAAATGTCCAAACTTAATTTGGAGCTTTCGTGATTGCAGGAATTATTCTTTGGTTCTTTCGGTAATATTCATTGGGCCACCAAATATTCATTGGGCTACCAAATGTCCCTCGGGCTACCAAATGTCCCTCTGGCCACCAAATATTCATTGGGCCACCAAATGTCTCCCGGGCAACCAAATGTCCCTCAAGCTACAACCAAATATTCATTGGGCCACCAAATGTCCTCCGGGCCACGAAATGTCCCCCGGGCTACCAATGTCCTTGTGGCCACCAAATATTCATTGGACTACCAAATGTCCCTCGGGCTACCAGATGTCCCTTTGGCCACCAAATATTCATTGGGCTACCAAATGTCCCTCGGGCCACAAAATATTCATTGGGCCACCAAATGTCCCCCGGGCCACGAAATGTCCCTCGGGCTACCAGATGTCCTTTTGGCCACCAAATGTTCCTCGGGCCCAACCGAGTTGACTCTCCCTCGCAGTATCAATCACCATCACGGTGCCCACCCACCACGACGGCTCTACTGCCACAACCCCTCACCCACAACCTTCCACCCACAGTTACCCCTATATATACGCTGTATATATAAAGCAAAAGGGGTGTGTGTGGCCACATATATGTAGGGGGTGCGCAGTGTCACGGTTGGCACGCTCCGCTACGAAGCCGGCGATCCGAGTTTGACGACTGCTCACGGCCAACATCGGCATCGATTATCTGAAACGGTCCTGGGACTCAAAGAAGTACCTCGTGTGGTGTGTAAACATCACCAGTAGGGAGACAAAGGCGGCCAGAGGTGGTGCAAGCCACCCACCCCCTCGTGTGCCGTATCGGCCTTCATCGGTGTCCCTCGCTAACAGCACTTGCCCCAACAGCCTGTTACAGATTCTAGATTTGAAGCTTTCGTGACTGTAAGAATTCATACTCTTAGTTTTTTCGGTAAAGTCACGTAGGTAAAACATTGAAATTAAAATTAATAAAAAAATAATATTACAGCTATATGTGGGATTTGTGGCCAGATGTGAAGAAAGTAATACGGGTGTGTATTACTTTCTGGAGCGTCTTACAACTCCGCTTCGTTTACTCAGCAAAGCCAGAGTCTTAAGACTATCTTTTAGGAGGGTCTTGTCAAGCTTTCGCAAGAGTGGGGACGACGCATGCCACGCGTAATGCCAAGTGAGACATTTACAGGAAATGTTTCAGAATTACGAGGTTCTTCGGCCAATACCAGTTTACACGATGTTCTTGTTTGAGCTTAAGATCCGGAGACGCTGGTAATACATCAACGGGTTCGTAGCGTGGCGACGACGCCTTTGGAGGCCTTCATTGAACAGTGGATTGACCATGGCTTGATGGAAGGTGGTGGTGGTGTTGTTGATGATGTTGTTGTTGTGCCCGTTTGCTGGCAGTCCAGAGCGGGGAGAGGTGCGTCACATGGGGGTGGGTGGAGTGTGCCCTCTAGCGGCAGCTCGTGGCCACGGCCACGCGTGTGTTAAACTCGTTGGGGACGTCACAATGTTACGTACAAATTTTGACTTAAAACTTTCGTGACTGCAGGAATTGATATTCTTGGTTCTTTCGGTAAAGTCACGTAAATAGAAAACAAAAAAATTGTAATGGATTGAAAATAATAAAAGAAAAAAACCCACAATAAAAATAGTAACATTAAATAAATTTAAAAAATTTAAATAAATGGAAAATAAAAGCAATGTAACATACATAACATTGCTTTACGTACGACCACCTCTCGTTTAACGCGAGGGGTGGGTGGTTTTGGGGGTTTCTTTGACAAACGGCGCGTAGCTTAAAATCGCGTAAATTAAACAGAATTTCTCCACGTAGAAATAAAGGTAGTTGTGGTTAGGGAAGGAGAGAGCACGCCATCGAACCTCATTCTTACGTCTACTTATTTCACCGGTTACAGGACATATTTACAATACTACCAGACATTAAAGAAAGTAATAGCCTATTTAAAGAAAAAAAGAAAGTCAAAGAAATGTTTTTTTTAACACTTAACCGCACATATTGGGAGGCCAATGTTGCGCATAAGACAAAGTTCACTTGGCCAAGATCTTCAGAATGGCTGCAAGAGATGCCGATTGATGCTGCCCGCGCTTTATGCTTGTGGCCGTACTCCTGCACCTCAGGCAGCATCGCCACTGAACTTTGCTGCCTAACAAAGAGCTCGCAGCGTATTCCGTACACTGCGGCCAACGCGCTGGAGCCCGTTATTTCAACAATAGTGCGCGCGTAACAAAAAGAAGTTAATTTGAATCTTACGCGCCATTTCAAAATCGCGTCACGTAAACGCGTGTGAAAGACGCGAGGCGACTGGATGTAGAAACTTTTCTCGCACCGTACGTAGCCAACCGTACTAATCGAGGACAACAAGCAAAACACAAAAACCAGTTGTAAAAATAAATGAGTCAAGTGAGATTTCAAATTGCACAGCTCCGATGGCTTCCTAATGTCGGAAGAACGTTCCAGGCGGCCACAGAAGCGCATCCGAAAGCGCGGGATGCAGTCACCGCCGTCTTTGTTTCGATGGTTAGCCAAAAGCCGCTGCGAGGATGACCGGCGTTTTTGCGCGATAGTTTATGCTCCAAGACAACATCGGCAAGGTATTGTGGTTCATTTGTGGCAAGCACTTTTCATAATTGACTGTTATGAAAAGCACGCTGCATTGGCTGCACTTGATTTCGTCCTGCTTTTGTCGTTTTGGTGACCCAGCTCACGCTTGCCAATTAAGACTCCGTCCGCATCTCTCGAGGTCTCACCTGGTTAAAAACAAGTTACATTCGAAACTTCATCTAGCAGTAGACTGATGATGGCTGATGATGATGAAAGTACCGGGCTTGCTTTGTGCCCACTGGCGAAGGGAGTGCGTTCATCGTTGACTGACCCATGAGGACCGCACGCCAAGAACTATTGTCCGGCCCTCCACAAACAATGTCATTTTATTCCACTGAAATTGTGTACATCTGAGCTTCCGTTCACCGCTTCCCTTCCAAGCCGCCGAAGACAATTGCATCCGTTACAGTTACCCCTCTCCCATTCCGAGGCATCTTCAAGCTGCAGGGTGGGTGTCCCGTTCACCGCTGAACCTCGCGACGCGCAAGCGGCCCGGCCTTAATTTTATTCAGAGGTGTACCGCCACTATTTTTAAAGACGTTGTTGGTACCAACCGCAGAGAACCGCAGCGACACGACCGCCGCACTCTACGATGGCTGGCGCCAAGCTGTGCCACACAGGCCTCCCGCGTGGGCTTTCAGGAACCTCGGTACCAATAAAGTTACTTTATTTTAATTTTCCTTCCGGTTCCATTCCGGCTCGTGCACGTCATCGGAACTCAATCGGAAGAAAAAACTGACGACGGACACTTGCGTCATTGAGTGCTCCCCCTGGCCACGTGCAGCGATGTTCTGATCGTGCTTTCTGAATTTTTATTTTCCGATTTCCTCGATCCTGTCCGGAAGGAACTCTAGACGCGGTTTCAAGCGCGACGTCGCCGCGTCTTAATCGCCGTTAGATTTGCTCGCGGGAATTCCCCTTCGACTCGCCCAAGGTGAGCGAGCCGAAGAAAAAAAAATTATAACCGGAACATCGTCAAACGCTTGTTCGCCGCGTGGCAATTTGATTTGCTTGGCCGTGGCCGGTGGTGGGGGATTCTTAATGACACAAATGTGGTCAGATCTTTACGTAGTGGCCTAATCCAGGGTTGTGAAACAGTGGCGAGATGTTATCTCCCTCGCCTGGTATACAGGAGGTCGTTGGGTTCGTTCCCAACTCTGACACCTGTTAGCATGTCTCTCTCTCTCCGTGGTCGCGTGGATTTTCCTCCGGGTCCCCCGGTTTTTCACCCCAGATTAAGAATCAACGCCGTGCGCTTAAGAGCATTCTGTCCGCTAGAAATTCCCACCCGATGGCGATAAGCCACTTCGTGGGGCGATCACCTGCGGCCAGGTCGCTTCCGACAAAGAGCTACACACAGCTCAGTGGGCCTTGTGAAAAATAGTTCATAGTTTAGTTTTAGTTTAGGCATGATTCCTATCACCTCACCTGGACGGAGACTCGCGCCCTCGCTGCCCCCGCCCCCCTATTGCCACAGTGCAAGAGAGCCTCACCCCACCCCCAGCAGATACCGCCGCCTCACACCTCATTACATTCAATACGGATTAATCCTTCAATCACCTGCCAAACAACCCCACCTGCCCCAAAACACGTTTCCCGCACAACACGGTTGAGGGGGAGGGGCTGTGGGGGGAGGGGCTGGGGGGGGGGGCTGTGGAGCAGGGGCTGTGGAGAAGGGGGGGCCCGGCCCATGACGGACGGAGCCCGGACGATCTGCGGCGGGGGGGGGGGGGGGGGCAGCTAGTGCCGCTTCTTGGCGGGGGTCACCGCGCCGTCGGGCCCTGCGTTCCAGTAGTAGAGCAGCTGGGCGGCCAGCGTGCCGTTGCACAGGGAGGCCACGATGTACGTGACCACCAGCAGGCGGTCGCCCGTCTCCTGCACGCACGCAGCAAGCACGCAGCGTGTAACACGTGCGGCGCACGAGCGCAGCGCGCAGGCAACACACGCGCATACAGAGGCAAAGATCCCCTGCGCAGCCTTTCACAGACTGTTGAAGTCCAGCATGGTGCAAGAGGGAGTGGGTGGCCAACACCACGCCCGACCAGCCTTTCATCCTCCAGTGACAATGATTTGCACACCACACGAGGAATTCATTTAAGGCCGAGTCGACGGAAGAGAGGCCCAGAACCGGTTCAGGTCGAACTCAGGTCGACGGGTTCATAGGGCAACACGCTAAACATTTCTCTTGACCGATCCCCCCTATAGCCTGAACAAACTGTTGGGGCAAGTGCTGTTAGCGAGCACCTATGAAGGCCGGCACGGCACACGAGAGGGTGGGTGGCCAACACCACGCCCGGCCACCTTTGTCTCACCCCAGTGGCGATGTTTACACACCGCACCAGGTCCTCATTTGAGGCCGAGTCGACCTCGGAGAGGCCCGGGACCGGTTCGGATAATCGTCGCCAGTGTTGGCAGTGAGCGGGAATCGAACTCGGCACGCAGATAAAACCACGTCGCCGCACCGTGCCACCGACGAGATATTCATCGTGTGCAGGACGGGCATTGCGATCGGTCGGAGGGACGATGAGGCGCTGGTGGTAGCGAGAGAGCGACAGACGACCCACGCGGGCTCGCACCTGCAAGGAGGTGAAGATGCGGGCAAGGGAGCCGCCCAGCAACAGGAACACAGTGATGGCCGACAGCTGCCCTGTGTGGCCGTTCCTGTAGTTGGCGACCACCTGCAGCAGCTGTAGCGATGGCACAACAATCACAACAATCACGACGATCACGACGACGTTGAGCTATCATTTTTGTGGCCAGGTTGCTTCGGAAAAAGAGCTGTACATCTTCTTGGTTCTTTCGGTAAAGTCACGTAGAAGGGAAGTAATAAAATAATTTAAATAAAACATCATAAAATAATTCTCACGAGGTTTCGGCCACAACTCAAGCAGCCGTCCTCAGGTGAAGACCAGGTCTGTCGGAGCTGCTTGCTTTGTGGCCGAAACGTCGTGAGAATTATTTTATTATGTTTTATTTTTATTATTTTATTACTTCCCTTCTACGTGACTTTACCGAAAGAACCAAGAAGATGAATCCCTGCAGTCACGAAAGCGTTAAATCGAAGAGCTGTACAGTTCAGTGGGCCTTACCTGGTGAAGTAAAAAAAGCAAATGGTGAATAGCGGTAGTAAATTATAACAGTAGGAGGGGGTGTGGGGGGAGGCATGTGTGAATGTAGGGTTGGTGGGGGAGGGGGTTGGTGGGGGAGGGGGTAGGTGGGGGAGAGGGTAGGTGGGGGAGGGGGTAGGTGAGGGAGGGGGTAGGTGGGGGAGGGGGTTGGTGGGGGAGGGGGTAGGTGGGGGAGGGGATAGGTGGGGGAGGGGGTAGGTGAGGGAGGGGGTAGGTGAGGGAGGGGGTAGGTGAGGGAGGGGGTAGGTGGGGGAGGGGGTTGGTGGGGGAGGGGGTTGCTGGGGGAGGGGTAGGTGAGGGAGGGGGTAGGTGAGGGAGGGGGTAGGTGGGGGAGGGGGTAGGTGGGGGAGGGGGTAGGTGGGGGAGGGGGTAGGTGGAGGAGGGGGTAGGTGAGGGAGGGGGTAGGTGAGGGAGGGGGTAGGTGGGGGAGGGGGTAGGTGGGGGAGGGGGTAGGTGGGGGAGGGGGTAGGTGGAGGAGGGGGTAGGTGGGGGAGGGGGGTAGGTGAGGGAGGGGGTTGGTGGGGGAGGGGGTTGGTGGGGGAGGGGGTAGGTGGGGGAGAGGGTAGGTGGGGGAGGGGGTAGGTGAGGGAGGGGGTAGGTGGGGGAGGGGGTAGGTGGGGGAGGGGGTTGGTGGGGGAGGGGGTAGGTGGGGGAGGGGATAGGTGGGGGAGGGGGTAGGTGAGGGAGGGGGTAGGTGAGGGAGGGGGTAGGTGGGGGAGGGGGTTGGTGGGGGAGGGGGTTGCTGGGGGAGGGGTAGGTGAGGGAGGGGGTAGGTGAGGGAGGGGGTAGGTGGGGGAGGGGGTAGGTGGGGGAGGGGGTAGGTGGAGGAGGGGGTAGGTAGGGGAGGGGGTTGGTGGGGGAGGGGGTAGGTGGGGGAGGGGGGTAGGTGGAGGAGGGGGTAGGTGGGGGAGGGGTAGGTGGGGGAGGGGGTAGGTGAGGGAGGGGGTAGGTGAGGGAGGGGGTAGGTGGGGGAGGGGGTAGGTGGGGGAGGGGTAGGTGGGGGAGGGGGTAGGTGGGGGAGGGGGGTAGGTGGAGGAGGGGGTAGGTGGGGGAGGGGTAGGTGGGGGAGGGGGTAGGTGGGGGAGGGGGTAGGTGGGGGAGGGGTAGGTGGGGGAGGGGGTAGGTGGTGGAGGGGGTAGGTGGGGGAGAGGGTAGGTGGCGGAGGGGGTAGGTGGGGGAGGGGGTAGGTGGGGGAGGGGTAGGTGGGGGAGGGGGTAGGTGGGGGAGGGGGTAGGTGGGGGAGGGGTAGGTGGGGGAGGGGGTAGGTGGGGGAGGGGGTAGGTGGGGGAGGGGGTAGGTGGGGGAGGGGGTAGGTGGGGGAGGGGGGTAGGTGAAGGAGGGGGTAGGTGGAGGAGGGGGTTGGTGGGGGAGGGGGTAGGTGGGAGAGGGAGTAGGTGGGGAAGGGGGTAGGTGGGGGAGGGGGTAAGTGGGGGAGGGGGTAGGTGGGGGAGAGGGTAGGTGGGAGAGGGGGTAGGTGGGGGAGGGGGTAGGTGGGGGAGGGGGTAGGTGGGGGAGGGGGGTAGGTGGAGGAGGGGGTAGGTGGGGGAGGGGTAGGTGGGGGAGGGTAGGTGGGGGAGGGGGTCGGTGGGGGAGGGGGGGTAGGTGGGAGAGGGGGGCCCTGCCTTGCTGAAGATGATGGCCGGCATGTTGAGCGCCTGCATTAAGGTGACGAAGGACGGCGGCGTCAGCGACGACAGCAGCAGCTGCAGCGCGGCGGCGTACACGGCCACGAACGCCAATCCTGCGGGGTCACGGCGGGGGTCACGGCGGGGAGTCATGGCAGCGGTCATGGTGGGGGGTCACGGTGGAGGGTCACGGTGGGGGGTCACGGTGGGGGGTCACGGTGGGGTCACGGCGGGGGTCACGGCGGGGTCACGGTGGGGGGTCACGGCGGGGAGTCAAACCTGAACTGATTCCCTGTGCAGATGGCAAAAGTTGCCGAATGATCGTAATATTTAATGTCACATTGTTGTCCTCTGTGCAAAGTGCATCTCGAAAAGCCGGGGTATTTGTAACGCGCCGAGCAGTTTTTTGCACGGAAGGATGGGAAAACCACAGACAAAGCGGGGGAAGGCAGCCAGTACCGGCAGCAGGAATTTCCCAAGTTCTGTGATCCTTTAGTGAGACGTTTGGCCAACTCCATCGATGAGTGATTATGAATGTGGTAGAATCCGGAGAAAATCTACGCGTGTGCAGGAGTTAGCACGTCACGTGGTGGAGGGCCGAGCATCCCACAGGAGCAACATCACCCCCACCTACTGCAAAAAAACGTGGCGAGACCCGAATAAAATAAAAATGTCTCGAGACTTAGCGAGGCTTTCCTGCGTAAACAAGCACAGCGACAATGATCATGAAGAAAACATTGGCTGCGAGAACACACGCGTCAAGTTTAAACAATCTGTTGGCAGATTAAATTCGCAGCCGCGAATGTCCACGATTCCATCGTCGCGCCCAGGACCGGACCCGCTAGCGGTGCCCGCGTATCGAGAGTTCAATTTTTAATGCGCAATTTTATTGGGGGACTGCGTGTTGTCTTGGCGTGGTCTGGGACTGCTTTTGCTGTTGCTTTGCTACTTTGCCAAAGCTTAGGAATTGGTGCACTTACGCAATTTGAACTTGCATACTTCATTCTATTTTCCGTATTTATTGCGAGTGACATGCTTACCTGTCCTACGCTTTGCACCCCTACCGTCGCTGCGTTGCTTTGTTTGATGTCGTAGCTTTCTGACGCCGCGTCCCCTACTGGACATAAAGAGCTTCACAGCTCACGGGATTTCCCCAGGATGGATAAAGATCCCCGATACCGATTCACTCACCCCTGCCGGTCCGTCCTCCGTAGTGCTGGATGAGGAATCCGATGGAGACGGTCTGCAGCATGAGGAAGAGCGCCTCCCCCCACGCACTGTCAACGACAACGCGCAGATGACGTCGGCGCCAGGATGCGGCCCAGGAGCCGAGTTGGGAGCGGCCTCGCCCGCTAACGCGCCTCCGATTAGTACGGTTGGCTATGTACGGTGCGAAAGAAGTTCAACGTACGTGCGTACATGATGGCCTAGCTAGCATCACAACATTCCGCAAGAAGCCTACCACACTACACTCAAACTATTAAACTATTTTTATTTTGACCAGGTATCGGCCAATGAGCTATGGAGCTATTTTTCAAAAACGACCTGGCCACAAATGATAGCTCAACGAAGTGGCTTATTCGCGTTGAAATGCACTGCAGCCAACGCACGTTGATTATAAATGTGGAGGGAAAAACCGGAGGACCCGGAGAAAAATCCACGCGACCACGGGGAGAAAATACAGCGTCAGGGTCGAGATCGAACCCACAACCTTCTGTATACCAGGCGAGGTAATTAACATCTCACCACCGTGGTGCCCCCCCCTTCATGATAGCACTTGCGCTATAGTAACGGCGCGAACACCAAAAGGTTTATAAAATAATAATTATAAAACGATTATGTCACGTCTGGAGTGCAACACTGGCTCAACATAGACAGAATGTCAGTCCAGGCCAAAGCTGCTGTCCGGATGCCTGCATGGCATGGCACCACACGCAGCTCAAAGTGGCCACTATGCCAGTCTCAGTGCTCCACCACTACACCTTGGCACGGTGCTTTGCCAAATCGTCGGTATTTATAAAGAACAACAACGCAATATTTCCAGGACATATATGTGCGGCGGGGCCAAGCTCAGCGAGGTGCGGGAGCCAAGCCCAGCGTTGCTCGAGAGCTGGGCGAGAGAGAGAGAGTTGTGGGACCTCTTAAAGCAGGGGTCCCCAACCCCCGGGCCGCGGACCGGTACCGGTCCGTGGCCTGTTAGGAACCGGGCCGCACAGCAGCAGGAGGTGAGAGTGGTGGTGGTGAGTCCGTGCGTGGCCCGCCCATTATTTTATTTACCATTTCCGTCCACGCCTCGTTCCCGCACTGCGCACTTGTTCCAGTTACAGTTTTGGTAAGCCCACAAGCTGCTAACCCCTAGCCAAAAACGTCACTGGAGAGCTTCTTTGAAAAGGGGGAAAGACCCAATGATTAACCCCCCCCCCAACCCCGGTCCGTGAAAAAATTGTCTTCCACAAAACCGGTCCCTGGTGACAAAAATGTTGGTGGACCACTGTCTTAAAGAGTTTCTTAACAGACGGTGCAAATTGAATGCTACACGAATTTGCAGCGGGATGGCCTTCCAGATGGTGGGGGCCGCCACAGAATTGCCCAGGCTCTGGGCAGTGTTTAACGAGGGCCGTCCATGGGACTCGAACCGCAGACCCTCTGGGACAGGCCGCAAAACGCTCTCCCGCTCGGCGATGCGAAAGCAGTCGCAACCGACTGCGGAGATTCTGCACGCGCCGCACGGTTCGCGCAGCGAGGATTTCGATGTCGCGTATTTCGAAGATCTAAACTCTGATAATTGTTTTTTTACCCTTTAATCTGGCAAAAAAACTGACACCTTTTTTTTCTACAAGGAGTCATGTTTGCATTGACCACAATACCTGTGGTCGTAATGCATAAAAAAACACAACTCTGATAATGTATGCACTGTCCTTGAAATTGATTGGTCCAACACCATGTGAGACTGGGCTCTAAGAAAAGCTGTCTCGGGTGCTGTCGCGAGTGCGGTGAGGCAGGAACGCGTGCGACCGCTACCTGAAGGGAAAGCCGTTGGCGATGCTGTAGGCCATGGTGCCCGAGATGGCAAACAGCTCGGTGAGCACCGCCGGGAAGCTGAGCCCGGCCGCGCTACGCGCCCGCGTCACCTTCATGATCTGCGGCAGCTTCACTGCCACCGACGCCCAGCGCGCAGCGCACACACACAACACACCACACGGCAGAGCGCGCACACACATACAGCGCACACATGCACACAGCACGCCGCAAGGCACAGCATGCACACACACACAGCACGCCACACAGCAGAGTGCACACACAGCCCATTAGCACACGACGCACACACAAACAGTACACCATGTGCAGCGCACACACACAGACAGACAGCACAGGACACATGCCACACGGCACAGCGCACACAAAGTGCTTTAGCTCAAAAAGATAAAAACATAGATCTCCCGTGTAGCCTCAACAGTATGTTGGGGCAAGTGTTGTTAGCGAGTAGCACCTATGAAGGCCGGTACGGCACACAAGGGGGTGGGTGGCCAGCACCACACCTGGCCGCCTTTGTTTCCCCAGTGGCGATGTTTTTACACACCGCACCAGGTACTTATTTGAGACGAACTTGGAAAGGCCCAGGACCGGTTCAATGAATCGCCACTGGTGTTGGCCGTGAGCGGGAATCAAACTCGGGGCCGCCGGGTTTGTAGCGCAGCGCGTTGACCGCTGCACTACCGCTCGCCGCAAGGACAGCACACAATAATAAGGAAGACACACGCACACGCCGTACAACACATTTCACACACATCGCCAATGAGCACAGCAAACACATGGCCCATTAGCACAGCACACACACACACCACAAACACCACTTAGTGCATACAAAGTTGTGAGTTCAAATCCTGGTCGGGACCATCAACGCTACACTTTGTGGGAAAACAGGTGGCTGGCCACAAGCCTCCAGAGAGACTGGTCCCAGCCATGAGAATGTGGAGTTTCCACAAGTGACTCAGGGCCACCAATGGAGATGCACGTTTGAGCTGGGATGCTCCAACTCGGTGAAGAGTCCGGGGAAGCCGATTCCAATTAGTGTGCTAAATAAATGATTGATTCTGGACGTCGCCTGATGAGGCTGGTTGCAATCACCGGGGAAAAAATTGTAAAGTTTTGAGTTTACTCTCCAACACACCGGTGTGCTGAACTAGAACCTAATTGGAATGTTTTGCTTACGTGACAAACCATACTAATTGGCCATGTGGGGTGGTGGCCGGTTTAACGACACGTTTACATTTAGGCGATCGAATCCCAAAAAAACCTCAAATTGGATGTTATTTTAATGACAAATCCACCTACTGGATAATAACCATCATCTTTAAATGTGTTCCGTGCGTGAATGCCCCTGCATCTCAAAGTGCCTTCCATCACATCTCATCTCAATCATTCCAAAGCCCGCCTGTAGTTTTTTTTCTTCTCTCCGTTTAGCCTAGGGGACCTCCCCCCCCTGCCCACCCAGCGGAAGCTGTCCCTGTGCGGCAAGTCAGCATTAGTGCTCCAGGAGGGCGCGACCAATTGCCGTACGTGTGAACGCGAACCGAGTCATTTGAAGGGACGACGACCTTCCGGCAAAAAGTCTTGCTTGTTCGACCATACTTGAACCACGCTGGTCGGTGCGGGTATGCGTGTTCGCTCACCCATGACGGAGCCGGCGATGATGCCCATGCCCAGACATTTGCTGATGAGGATCTTGAGGCAGGGCACTGTGGGGACAAAAGGTGCCATTTAAAGAACACTTGCAATCTTTTTTGTTGTTGTCGGCTAACCATCAAACTTTTTTGGCTGGCCACCCGAACAGAGGCGGCGGTCACCTCATCATCGCGTGGCCGCTTTCAGACGTGCTTCTGCGGCCGTCTAGGGCGCTCTTCTGTTCAATATTAGGAAGCCACTGGAGCTATGCACTTTTAAATCATCTGGATTGACAAACTCATTTCTTTAGCATGTATGATGAACTTCTTTCGTACCGTACGTAGACTGCCGCGCTAATCAGAGGTGCGGAAATGTATTTTTTTTTACAACTGATTTTTGTGTTTAGTTTGTTGTCCTTCCCCCTGCACCTCCAATTAGCGCGGTTCCAACATACATACAGCAATAACCGCAACTCTAAAAACTCCCCACATTGTAATTGAGAACTGTGCAGTGGACGGTTGTTGGGTCACATTAATCCGTGGCACCCCCCCCCCCCCAATAACCCATTGGCATCAAATTAAATTAAATCCAGGAAGTGAGGGTGACTGCGTCACCCGACCAAGGCTTTTTTAAAAATAGGTGTCATGACCTCACAGTTCCAACAAATCAGAATTTATAAACAGTACATTACCCATGGCGAATTAATTTAAATGAATTGTGTTCCAATGTATCTGGGGCAACGATTAACATTGTGCGCATTACAATACTCATGAACAGGCTCGCATGTACCATCAAGTCACGACGCCTTATTCAAGAAGCCCAGTCGGGTGACACGGTGATTCTGACTTTCTGGAGCTTGTCCTGTTGATGCTTGGCGCGGTTTCAAGCAAAATTGCCTAACCAAATTGCAACATTTTTTGCGAGTGTACCCATGAAGACAGGCACCCGATTAGAGTGGGTGAGTGGCCAGCACCACCGACCTTTGCCTCCCCCATTGTTGGTGTTTACACACCACACCACGTCCTCATTGAAAGCCAAGTCTACGTGGGGGGAGTCAGTCACTTGCCGTGGGCCGATTCAGATACGTTCGCCGCTGTTATTAGCCGTGAGCGGGAATTAAACTCGGCTCGCGGGGTTCACAGCGCCGTGGATTTTTCTCCCGAGTCGTTCCTCCACATTTTGAATCAACATCACCACGCGTTTTAGAGTATTTGGCTGACATGAATTTCCACACGATGATAAGCCACTTTCGTTGAGCTATCATTTGTGATGGTCAGGTCGCTTCTGAACACATTCCTGCGGAGGGAGCTGGTAGGAACGTTGGGTTGCTCGGTCAATGGCCAGGGTCAACGGCGGCGTGGTGTATTCCGCAAATATGCCCGACTGTGAGGGGGGGCACAAGCCGGCGTGAGTAGGTTAAACGTTGAGTTTTATAAGGGCACCACGGGGCTACCAGCCCCACCCCTCCCAGCCTCCACCCAGCCCCACCCTCCCCACCCAGCCCCTCCCCACCCTGCCCACCTCACCCAGCCCCACCCTCCCCACCCTCCCCTCCCCACCCGGCTGGTGGAACCAGTGGGTTTCCTACCAGTAAAAGAGCTACCTTACCTGGTAAAATAATAAATAACAGTTTAATGGTTATTATTTGCAAGAGTGACCTTGGGTCACAACATTCATTTTTAAATAAAGTGCCGTATCAGCAACGAAGCAAAATAAGTCAGTGCAAAACGAACTGTTCCAATAAAAAACATTATACAAACATAACCGCTGCACCACAACTCCCTCTGGCACGGTCACACCATTCCTGTCAACCCCTTATCAGTGCCCTACCTTATTACACGCCGATTCAGACCTCATAAATCTCAACGTTCATCCTACAAACTCCCATCACAAGGGAAAAACACAAAGACGGCCTGTACCCCCTCTGGACAACCGTATGGGTTGACAGCGATGTGACACACAACATACACACCGACACAGTGACACACAGTGACACACAGTGACACACAGCGACACACTGCGACCGCGTGTCACACCACTAGGTGGCGGCAACGTCACCACGGCTCTTGTGCCAGGCTAGGTGCACCTTGCCAGGTGACGGGACAGACCCAGGTGCTATGGGTTTACGGTAAAGACAAAGGTCCCCCGTGTAGCCTTGTCAGGCTCTCGAGGCAAGTGCTGTCTGTGTTCCGCTCGTGGCACCTAAGAAGGCCGGTGGCCAGCACCACGCCCGGCCGCCTTTGTCTCCCTCATCGCAGCAGGTAATCAGTCGAGGCCGAGTCGACCTAGGGGAGGCCCGGGAACTGTATCAGATTGGTGGCCTTGGGCGGAAATCGAACTTTTGAGTCGCCGGGTTCATAGCGCGTTGCGCTACCCGCTGCACAAAGATCCCCCGTATAGCCTCAACAGACTGCAGGGGCAAGTGCTGTTAGCGAGCACTCACACACAGTGACACACTCAGTGACACACAGTGACACACACAGTGACACACTAGTGACATACACAGTGACACACAGTGACACACACACACAGTGACACACACAGTGACAGTGACACACACAGTGGCACACACACACAACAGTGACAAAGATCAAAGATCCCCCGTATAGCCTCAACAGACTACAGGGGCAAGTTCTGTTAGCGAGCACTCACACACAGTGGCACACACAGTGACACACAGTGACACACACAGTGACACACTAGTGACATACAGTGACACACACAGTGACACACACACACAGTGACACACACAGTAACACACAGTAACACACAGTAACACACACAGTGACACACTAGTGACATACACAGTGACACACACAGTGACACACACACACAGTGACACACACAGTGACACACTAGTGACACACAGTGACACACACAGTGACACACACACACAGTGACACACACAGTAACACACACACAGTGACACACACAGTGACACATACACACAGTGACACACACAGTGACACATACACACAGTGACACACACAGTGGCGCACACACACAACAGTGACAAAGATCAAAGATCCCCCGTATAGCCTCAACAGACTACAGGGGCAAGTGCTGTTAGCGAGCACTCACACACAGTGGCACACTCAGTGACACACAGTGACACACACAGTGACACACACAGTGACACACTAGTGACATACACAGTGACACACAGTGACACACAGTGGCACACTCAGTGACACACACAGTGACACACACAGTAACAGTGACACAGTGGCACACACAGTAACACACACACAGTAACACATACACAGTGACACACACAGTGACAGTGACACACACAGTGACACACACAAAACAGTGACACACACAGTGGCACACACAGTGACACACACAGTAACACAGTGACACAGTGGCACACACAGTAACACAATGACACACACAGTAACACAGTGACACATACAGTAACACAGTGACACACACAGTGACACACTCAGTGACAGTGACACACACAGTGACAGTGACACACACACAGTGACACACTCAGTGACAGTGACACGCACAGTGATACACACAGTAACACAGTGACACACACACAGCGACACACACCCGGTGACACACACAGCGACACACAGTGACACAAAAACCCCCCGTGTAGCCTTAACAGACTGTAGGGGCAAGTGCTGTTAGCGAGCACCTATGAAGGCCAGAACGGTACACGAGGGGGTGGGTGGCCAGCACCACGCCCGACCGCCTTTGTCTCCCCAGTGGCGATGTTTACTACACACCGCACCAGGTACAATACTCATTTGAGGCTGAGTCGACCTAGGGGAGGCCCGGGACCGGTTCAGATAATCGTTAACACACAGCGACACACACACAGCGACACACACACACACAACAGTGACACACACACACCGTCTAGCAGATTCAGGCGCACGAACAGCTGCTCGTGGCATCGTGGCGTGAGCATCGCGGCGCTCAACGTAGCGAGGTTCTCCATGGCGGCCCCACTCTTTCCGCCTCCCTCTAACCCCCACGGCGCATGCGCAAGCCTCTGTCTCGCTCGCACCCGACGCTTGTGTTTTCAATTTGAGTTTGTGAACCAAGGTCCATGGGCACAAAAGGCAGGTGAGGTTTTAAGATGTTTCCCAAGTTCAGAGCTGTCGACCCCTTAGCAGTTGCCCCACCTTGTCACAGACCAATTCAGACCTTATTGGTCATCCCGTGCCCCTTATAAATATCAACGTTCATCCTGCAAAGTCTCATCGCAAGGGAGAAACACTAATAGACACGTTTTACTGGTCGGAACCTCCTGGTTACACCAGCCCACAGGGGATTATTGTGTCCGTCCGTCCGTCGTGCAGCGAGGGGCTGGGTGGGGAGGGAGGGACTGGGTGGGGAGGGGAGGGTGGGGAGGGGCTGGGTGGGGAGGGTGGGGCTGGGTGGGGAGGGTGGGGAGGGTGGGGAGGGGCTGGGTGGGGAGGGTGGGGAGGGGCTGGGTGGGGAGGGTGGGGAGTGGCTGGGTGGAGAGAGGTGGCCTGGGTGGGGGGTGGGAGGGGTGGGGCTGGGTGGGGAGGGTGGGGCTGGGTGGGGAGGGTGGGGAGGGGCTGGGTGGGGAGGGTGGGGCTGGGTGGGGTGGGGAGGGTGGGGTGGTGAGGGACCTGATCACCCCGTTGTGCCCTTATAAAACTCAACGTTTAACCTACTCACGCCGGCTTGTGCCCGCCCTCACAGTCGGGCATATTTGCGGAATACACCACGCCGCCGTTGACCCTGGCCATTGACCGAGCAACCCAACGTTCCTACCAGCTCCCTCCGCAGGAATGTGTTTTTGCCCGTTTTGAAACGGCTGTACGCGCCTATTTGGTGGTCTCCACTCTTACATCTGAAGTACCGGTGAGGATGCCTCACACCGAGGTTGAGGCACACGTGTATTTATTTTACAAGTCGTCACGACAGGACAGCACTAGAGGAGGTATTGGCCCCCTCACCCGTATAACTGGGGATACACCACTAGCTATCCCTGACCTACCCCGAGTCCTCCACTAACGGGCTAGGGGAGGCTGTCTGGCCCGACACTGGTGAGTCGGGCTACGGTACCCGGAATCCCAGAGTGCTGACTCTGGTTCACGGGACCACGCCGCTGGCTCGGTCCTGCGCGGCCCTGAAAAGGGCGGCGTCTCAGGGGAGTCCAGGGCTCTAGCTACCCGGGTCTTCAATCTTCCCTCCTTTGTTCTAATACTGAGCCCCGAGCTCTCTCTGTCATCCCCTTTTATACCCCCTCCAGGATCACAACCCCGGGCAGCCCTTCCCCCAGGCTGCCCGACGCGGACGTCGTTGCGGGCACCCCCCCCCCCCCCGCTTACTCCCGGAGCTCCGCCCACTGTGTTTGTTCGCCGTTTGATCTTATGTACAAACAGCCCCTCCATAACAGCCCTACACATCTATGAACCTGAAAACTCAATTTCCCTGCACAAGAATGCGGGGTAAACCGTATGGGTTGACAGGTGTGCAAGTTGGGTTTTTTTTTTTGGAACTCACGTGACCAGGATAGGAGTACGCATTGGCAATGAGTGAATGCGGCGGTGGCGAGATATTAACTAACTCGCCTGTCTTGCAGGAAGTCGTGGATTCGATCCCAACCCTGACGCCTGTTGTATATTTGGATTAACGCGTAAGATTTCGCAACCAAATTTGTCCGTAATAGTTTTTTTTATTAGATCGCGTAAGTTTAAATGTGTCGTTAAACCCGCCACCACCCTACAAAACCAATTGGCAAGGTTTGTCACATATTCGTGGTTCTTTCGGTAAAGTCACGTAGAAGGGAAAAAATAAAATAGTAATAAAAATTATTGCTGTGGATTTCACACCTGATGATGATTGCTTGTGTTGCAGTCGAAACGTCGTGAGAATTTTATTGTTTTATCATTTTATTATTTTAGATGTTTTCCCTTCTACGTGACTTTACCGAAAGAACCAAGAATATGAATCCCTGCAATCACGAAAGCTTTAAATCAAAGGTTTGTCACGTAAACAGAACATGTCAATTAGTTTATAGTTCAACACTATTATAATTACATTGGAATCTACCGAACAGTCATCGCTGCCTCCCCCCTTACTGCCGAAAACTTGGCAGGACCCTCCTCAAAAAGAGTCCCGAGACTCAGGGATGCTTTCGCGGGTAGCAGCAAGTGTAGGAATCAATAATCGTAAACAGAATATATCGATTTGGTGGTCTCTGCTCTGACATCTATTTGGTAGCCACGAATTATTTCTCTACTCACGACTCTGTATCACTCGGCAAAGCCTCGCAGAGGTCTCATGCCAAGATGTTCACCACTTCTAGATTTGAAGCTTTCGTGACTGCAAGGATTCATATTCTTAGGTTTTTCGGTAAAGTCACGTAGGTAAATAAAATAATAAGTATAACCCGTAAAAACAAAGTTTTTCACTATAAATCCTTTATATGCGTGGCAGCGAACTTAATATAAAGGATTTAAAAATCTATTCGCCTGTGGAGGACGCGGGGATCGATCCCGCGACCTTTGGCATGGGAAGCGAGGGCGCTACCAACTGCGCTACTCCGCCACGGCCTGTGGAGGGGTTACGCTCTGGGCTCTTACACTCTGACGTTCAGCCCAAGCCATGAATGCGTTCTATTTGAATATATGTAAAATACAAAAATTTTGCCTAAAAAGTGTAAAATTTGGGGAATTTTTTTTTCACGAACAATAATTGTCTGGCACAACGAGTCTGTGTGGAAAATGTCAGCTCGATTGGATCACGGGAAGTGGGTTAAAAATCTACCGAAAGATTTGCACGGTCCTAAGCAAGCAAGCAAGCACGCGAACTTAATATAAAGGATTTAAAAATCACGACGTTTCGGAGGCAACACAAGCTTCCGTCTTCAGGTGGAACCGTCACAGCCACGACAGCTGTATCAAGTAAATGAGAGATTGCAGGAGCTACCACTCCGTTTATATAATGGAGTGATTTTTATTTTATTTTACTTTTATTAGTTTTACCTACGTGACTTTACCGAAAAACCTAAGAATATGTTCACCGCTACCTCCCCCCCCCCCGACTAATCTCAGTGGACGGCACAAGGTACCGAAGGCAGTGGGCAGACGACCATCAACTTAACGGCCAGACACCGTAGCGGACGTTGAACTTCTTTCGCACCGCACGTAGCCGACCATCAAAGCACGCGCCAGAGAACACGTGATAAAGGGGATTTATTTTATTTTGGTCCATTGGGTACAGCCACATGTTACGTTTTTTTTTCTGTTTTTGACAAAAGTTACAAGTTAGAGTATAATCTGGTTACACTTCACCCTCGCAGTGGAGGGGACCCGTCAGACCACAGTTAAAATGCAATCACACCACATCCATCCTCACTCGGGGTACACAGCACAGGTATATTATAGGTTTCACGACACACACCGTACACATGTATATTGCACCGTCCACCTATAGCAAACCACGGCGTTATTCTAAACTACAAAAAAAAAGTTACCAAGACTGCCGCGGGTTACCCAAATATATATATTTTTTGGACACCTTGCGTGTGACGATCACCCTTGATGTTGAGTTATTGTTGTTGTTATTGTTGTTGTTATTGTTGTTGTTGGCACTGGCCACGGGGAGGGTGAGGGGGGGGGGGTTGAATTTCCATGCCGGATCGTCGGCGCCGATACCGACGTTCGCTCTGTGGAGACGGCAAACATTGTCTTAGCAAGATAAGAAATTGCAAATATATATATTTTTTACTCCATAGAGTGGTAAACATGCTAGGATGGTCCATACCGTTTCCGGTATAACCGCATGAAATAGAACGGTTAACGGGGTGTTTTTTTGCCGCACGTACAGAAACGTCTCTAGAGCGTGCGCGCACAACAACAAAATCGTGATCGCGTTTCGTTCGACTGAGAAACGAAGGGGGGGGGAGGGCAAAACTTTATCCACGCGGTGCCGGGGCAGGTGACACGCGTTCCGCTTTTGGCGTTCAACTGGTGAATGATCGCCGCGTTCCTGACTTCGAGAGCTGGGCAAACGATCACGAAAGCTGTTGTCGTTGGACGATAAGCCCCCCACCACCACCACCCCCCACTCTGGGCTCGAACGCGCTCGGGGATGATGATCTCGCACGCGAGCCGGCGAATTGCGCACCGCGCGTCGTGATGGCATCGAGTCGCGATATCAGAAATCCGGTTCCGCCCGACATTCGCGCGATTGGGACGATTGGACGGAAAATCGGATTCTTTAAACGCTCACAAGGAAGTGAATGCGGCTGATGAGTGGCACAACACATCACACCGACGCGGTGGCCCACACGGGTCAAAATATCACACACTGCATTTCTTGATAATAAGAATAATAATCATTGCATCGATAGACCACTCGCATGCCTTAGCAAGTCACAGCGCCTTACAATCACCTCTCATCTCAACCATTCGAAGGACACCAACTACGTGACTCAGCACGTGGCCTGCTCCTGTGCAGAATCCCAATTGAGTCATTTGGGGGGGTGGGGGCGGGGGAGGGAGGGCGTTGATTTTTTGTTTTTCAAACCTGGAAAGTTTGGACCGTGACTTCCGCGCCAACGCAATGGCCTACTCTTGCCGAGTGACGTCCAGGGGGTCTTTAACGTCCACCGTGGAGGCGGCTTGCGCCGTGCATCACGCCCAAGGCTCACACCGCGGTGGCAGCCGGGGCGGATTGCCGATCTCGAATCGCGGACGTCTGCACCGTGCGGCGAACGCGCAACCGCCGGCGCCCACCACGTCAGAATGATACCGGTTTAAACCTCTATGGGCCTGAAGCCCATAAAGGTTTAAACCGGTTTCTCCTCGGAGTGATTTTTTTTCTCATACGGTTACCGGTTATGTGGGGGGAGCGGTCGTGGAGTGGTTAGCGCACCGCGCGACGAACCAACACCGGTGACGATTACCTGAACCGGTTCTGCCCCTCTCTGGGTCGATTCCGTCATACATGAGTATTGTACCTGGTGCGGGGTATAAAACAGCAGCACTGGGGAGACAAAGGCGGCCGGGCGTCGTACCGTCCACCCACACCCTCGTGTGCCGGCCTTCATCGATGCTGCTCGCTAACAGCACTTGCCCTAACAGTCTGTTGAAGTCCATTCAGGTACTCTGCCGGTCATGGCAATTCAACGCGATGTTTACCGGCGAAACTTCATTGAAAGAAACTCGCGAGATTGCTGCTGATACCACTGCTGCTGCGGTCTTCGTGGAACGATCGATCGATCGATCTCGGTCCGTGTCTCAAGACAGAAGCAATCAATCAATCACCACCCCACCCACCCCACCACCCAGCCCACCAACCCCAACCCCGGAGCCGCGCAGTGACAATGTTTCGGCAATGATGCTGGCATTGCGCTTCCTTCCCGCTCCCTCTACCCCTGCTCGCACCATGAACTCGCGAGTCCAAGATTGTCTCTGGGACCAGGCGGGGGGGGGGGGGTAGAAGTTCGGCAACCCTGCGGCTCAGGAATCGCATGCGGCTCCTTGAGGACTGTTTCAGGACCGTTATTTATTCAGGACCCCCCTCGTATTCACACGAGATGGCTCTTGAAATATTGATTTTATTTTTTCTTGGGAGGAGGGGGGGGGGTGTTTTTTTTTCCCTTTTCTGGTTATTCTCGCTGCCGACCCCCCCCCCCCCCCCGGTCTGGGATAAATCACCGCGGCTTTACTCACGCGCTATTCAACCCGCGGTGAAACCAAACGCACCCGCTGCCGTGTGCACGGTTAGAAGACGCTGCCTGTTTTCGCCACAACAACGTGGTGACGATTTATTTGTATCTCTCTCTCCGGTGCGTTTTCTGCCCCCCCCCCCTCCTCCACCCGACACGTCTAAGTTCAGTTCCTGAACAAGGCTCCCACCCCCCCAGCGAAACATCGGACATCGTGCCAAACAACGCTCGGCACGACCTGAAAACGCGTCGGGAGCAGCCACACGGAGCAGCATCGTCGCGGACACCTACACGGTGATCATGCGGTAGGGCAATCGCGTCGACACAATTGTGTTGTGTGCCCGATATTGCAAAGCGCCGGTGCTATTGGAAACATCGCGCTGTTGTTCTTTGCCCTTGAAAGCCACGGCAGGGGGGGGGGTTGGGTGGGGGGGGCTAGATTAGGAGTCAGGCAACCAAAATAATGAGAGATTTTTTTTTTTCTTTCAAATTCTATATATATAAAAAATGTCAATCGTTCACCGTTGGTGAATACGAGACGGTCGATTCTTTAATGAATCACGTGTCACGAAGCAGTCCTCAAAGACAGTCGCAAGCTGATTCGGAGCCGCAGGTTGCCGACCCCTGGGCTCGAACAATCGGTAGCGTCAGTGGACTCTCTCTGTTGAGGAGTCATCAGTCAATTGCCACACTGCAACATCCCAGCTGTGCTCTAGCACGCCTAATTTTTTTTCGCACTGGCACATCCGAGCCGAGCCAGCTCAGGGCCAGCACAGTACGGGTGGTTTTCGACTAGCAGTTTTTTGCTGAGCCATGCTAGAACCCAACACGTGATTCATTGCTGCCCCTCACAGGAAGACGTCCGAATCTGGCTCGGGGCCAAGCAGGGCCAGGAGCGGGGGGGGGGGCGGAATCAACAACCCCCCCCCCCCCACAGGCCCTTTCTCGCTGAGCCGCTGCCACAGTCAATTAGCGTGCGGCCGAAACATTAATCCACGAAGCCGACTCCACGGTGCGGCCAAACGCAATGCGGTAGCTGACACAGGGGGCACACGGGGGGGGGGGGGGTAGAGTCAACGGGAGACGCGTCGCGTTGTCTTCACTGCCGGGGAACATTCACGAAAAGCCACGGGGGACAGCACGAGTGGTTTGGGTTTTGTTTTGTTTTTGGTTTCGAAAATAACGCAGGCAGCTGACAGCCGGGATACAATGCCCATTTTTTGTGGGGTTTTTTTTGTCTGGAGTCAGCGAGGTTCCCAAAAGCACCCCAACACATCAGGAGGCAGTCGCCTCGCGCCGCACATTTCGAGTAAATTGGAGGCTGCCGCAACGCCCCCAGCGTGGATTTACGTTTTCCTATTCCCCCTATGGGGATTGTAGAGAGGGGGGAAATAATAACTAAATTCTAAATTTGAAGCTTTCGTGACTGCAAGGATTCATACTCTTGGTTTTTTCGGTAAAGTCACGTAGGTAAAAAATGAACTAAAATTAATAAAAATAAAATAATAATAAATCACGTGTTGCCTCCGAAACGTCGTGATTTTTAATTATTTTATTTTTATTAATTTTAATGTCATTTTTTACCTACGTGACTATACCGAAAAAACTAAGTGTATAATAACTAAAGTTTGACGCGTGGACAAATCTCAGCGAAGACTTTCCCGATTTCTTTCATTCCACTGCGCCTTCAATTCCTAACGATGTTCTAATTCGTTTGAAGGGGTTCGCAGAGTCGCGTCAGTGAGCACAGCATGACCGGCGGTGCGTGGCGTCGTGTCTGACTCGGTCGTAAAAGATAACAAAATAAATAAATTGCCCAGGTACTCGCATTGTCGGCTGATATCGACCGGAAATTAAAATTAAGGGTGCTTTAAAAAAATGTTAACGCTTCCATAGAACTATCGTTTTTAATGGACGAAGAACAGTTAATACACGGTAACATGATAACAAATGTAATGTTAATAGCTTTAAAAGGTCAATTAGTCTCCCACTTGTTCGCCATCGTTGTCAACGCGTGCCTGGGATCTTCTCCAGGTGGTCTCCAGAGCCCTGGAGGCAACACATTTCTCGCGGTGGTGTTGTTGTTAAATTCTCAGAAGTGTTAAACACATTTTTAAAGCACCCTGTAAATATATAGTTTTGGCAAAACTTACCACGCCGGTTCTCGCGCCCGCCACTTAAGACTCACGGTTAATTTTTGGGTTATTTCCACTGACGAAACTGATCTCGCCAGAGCCTTGCCGCGACGTATTCCCCCCTGCCCTCCACCACACGACGCGGTCAAACAAATTGAACCGGCACCCGGAGGGGAGGGGGGCGTTTAACAATGCGCCTATTATTACGATTCACTGCAGCATCGCCCAGCGGTGAGCTGATGGACAATTCTCACAACCACGTTTAGCAATTAACAAAAACGGAGAAACGAAAAAAACTAAGATTAGCCAAAAACAGTGGCCTTAAAAAGAAACAAAAAACCCCACTTGTATAACGGGAATCGAATTGGACAGTGGCTATTCTTCTCCGATACAAATTCATTAGTTTGGCTGCGTCGGGTGGTGGAGGGATCTGAACGTCGAATGTTTGATCAGGTTATTACGCGGCCTCAACACACACACACGCAAAAATCAACCGCGAATCTTCGCTTTTGGCAGAGTGCAGGGTGAGATGCAGCAGTTCAAGGGCGCTTCGATTTGACTCCACACGTTCCGTATATGACACACGCACCACCACGCACAGCTACAGGACAGCATAGAACCCCCCTCGGTGGCCTCTATAAACTATTAACTATTCTTATTTTACCACGTAAGGACCATTGAACGACGAGGCTCCTTTTTGCAGACGTGACCTGGCCACAAATGATAGGTCAACGAAAGTGGCTTATCATCAAGTGGAAATTTATAGCAGCCAAAATACCTGAAACGCACATTGATTTTAAATGTGGAGGGGAAAATCGGACGACCCGGAGAATAATCCAGGCGACCATGGTGTGAGAGAGAGACGCAAACTCCAAATATACAGCAGCAGGCATCAGAGTCAGGATCGAACCCACAACTTCCTGCACACCAGGTGATGGAGTTAACATCTCCTAGCCACCGTGATGATGATGAGAGAGAGAGAGAGAGACGCAAACTCTAAATATACAGCAGCAGGCATCAGGGTCGGGATCGAACCCACGACCTCCTGTACACCAGGCGATGGAGTTAACATCTCACCACCGTGGATCTAGGTTCAATAGGCGAATATAAAAAAATTAAGATTGTCACTTTCGACACTGGCGAATTCACATACATTCCCCTATCCGTACGAAGATGATTGTTACTGTTGTTGTTTAATCGGCATCACCATTACAAGGATTTCCATTGAAATATTTATGACATTGAGCTACTGCGCTGTGTAGCGCTGCAGTTGCACGCTATTCCACACGATCCGAAACCGATACGACCCATCAATGAAGACACGTGAAGTACGGCACATGTTAAATATCCAATCGACTACGTCTGGCCCCTCCGAAAGTGCCCTACTCCGCTATCATTATATTTGCACATTAAGTCCCATGTAAAAAAGCACGGCGTAATAACACAGCACTGTGGAAGATGCCCCCCCATACGATTTAACAGTTCAAACATTTCGTTGACAAAATTGGCAATAGTAAGTGCTCTTCTAATTCATCACACGCGCGCGCACACCTGCATTGCTGCTCATTGATTGAAGCAAACACAGGCAAGGGCGGCAGAGAAGGGAAAGGAGGGGTGGGGTTCACTTTAAATAATACTGGTAGGAACCTCCTGGTTACACCAGCCCACAGGGGATTATTGTGTCCATTCGTCCGTCCGTCGTGCATCCAAAAATAGGAGGGGTGGGGCTGGGTGGAGAGGGGAGGGTGGGTAGGGGCTGGGTGGGGAGGGTGGGGCTGGATGGGGTGAGGAGGGGCTGGTCACCCCGTGGTGCCCTTATAAAACTCAACGTTTAACCTACTCACGCCGGCTTGTACCCGCCCTCACAGTCGGGCATATTTGCGGAATACACCACGCCGCCGTTGACCCTGGCCATTGACCGAGCAACCCAACGTTCCTACCAGCTCCCTCCGCAGGAATGTGTTCTGGCGGTAGTGGGAGGGGGGGGTCATGATGTTGTGCAGAGTGGACACAGAAGCGAAGCAGCCCACTGACCCTGTGGAGATGAACGAGGCAAGCCCTGGCACGCGGAGTTCAGGCGACAACCTCAGCGGTTCTCATTTGGGGAATTTCAACAGGGCATCCCGTTCCCCATTGCAACCGATGGCCATTCCGTTTGCCTTGATAGTCTATATGGGAGTTTTATTTTCCATTATAATATATGGACATTCTATTGGCGGCATAGTCTTTTGGCATAACCTTTGCCATTCTAGTCTATGGACATTCCCCGTGTCCCATAGAGTCTACCGGGCATTTTCCTCGCCCTGCGAATTCGTTGCGTTCCGCACACGTGGCCCGGGTGTGCTGCCCTCGGTGTGACCTCCCCAATGCCTCCTGGATGCACAGAGGGGTCGGGGCGGGGGGTGGTGGGCACAAATCGGCGGCTTGGCATCGAAAAATGCACGGGCAGGTGTTGTTGTTGTTGTTGTTTTTACGTAGAAAACGGCCATCACGCACGTGGGAAAAAATGTACATATCTACAAGCGGCATGTAAGAAGCGCCCGACGATGGCGACAATTGGAGTTTAACTTTAATTTGGGCGGTGGTACGAAAACATCTAAACGGTCGCTCTCGTCCGTTTTTTTTTGTTTTCTGCGGGATTGGAGGGATTCACAAACGGAAACGGGTCAGGTTCGATTAGACACGCGTGTCACCCGAATCGGGGCCGCGGGTCCCGATTACCGTGCGGCCAGGTCGGACTCGGCTCGCTTGCGAGTGCCGCTCTGCGTCAACCAGGAGGGGTGGGGGGGGGGCGCAGCAGAGATGGGGGGGGGGGGGCGTTCGCCTCGCAGCGTCTCACCACTAGCTGAAAATAACTAAAACTAAACTTTTTATTTTATTACTTAACTAAAAGTAACTTTATTTTTTTTTACCGGGTAAGGCCCACGGAGCTAGATGGCTCATTTTCAGAAGCCACCTGGTTATCACGAATGAGAGCTCAACGAAAGTGGCTTTTCATCTTAGCAGCCAAATACTTTGAACGCGTGATGTCGATTCTAAATTTGGAGGGAACAAACGGAAGACCCCGAAGAAAAATCCACGCAACTACGGGGGGAGAGAGAGAGAGAGACACCGCAAACTCCGAATACACAGCAGCAGGCGTCAGGATCGAGATCGAATCCACGACCTCCTGCATACCAGGCGAGGTAGTTAACATCTCGCCACCGCGACTCGCTGAATGTGTGCACGGCCACTTTGTCGTCGAGTGACCGTCGACTCAAAGGGTCGAGAGAAATTTGCGGCAAACCAAAACGGCCAGTGACTTTTCGAGCTGGTGGTCGTTAGACCGGCTGGCTCTCCCACCACTCCCCCCCCCCCCCGGCGCTAAACATTTCTCGCCATCGACAGATCCCAAGAGACGCGGAAAATCCATCCCGTGGTGGATCGCCCCCCTCCCTCCCTACCCACCCACCGCAATATCTTAACGGTGCGACGCACGGGGGCATCACCAGGCTCCCTCGCCTGTGCCTCGCGTCTCTCCGCGAGGCAGCAAAGTCGCCGGAGACGATCTGCGCCGGGTGGAGCGGGGGGGGGGGGGCTTTTCAGGACGTCGCCCCGGTCAGCTCCACACAGGGCGAGCGAAGAGCCGGTGGGGGGGAATGGGGTAGGGGTGCGCGTGGTTCACGTCCCGTCCGTCGTTCGGCGACGCGCGGGGGTGCCACGGGTCCGAGGTTGAATTCACCAGAAATTGTCACCTTCCGCTCAACGCCCCCCACCGATCAACCCACCCATCGACCATGTCGTTCCATCGGCGAGGACTGTCGCACGACGGTCAACCCCGACGCGGTCGTCTTGCGGCGCTGGAGCGCACAGACGGCGCGGGGGGGGGGGGGGTTTGAGGGAGCACGGCTCCGGTGTCCGTGGTGCTGAGCGGCTCGCTGCTGGACACGGCGGGGTGACGCCCAGCGGAGCCCCCCCACAGCTCACCCCCCCCACCCCCGACACTGCACACGGCGGGGGTGAGGAGGGTCCACAGCTCACACGCCGTCGTCACAGCTGAGTGCAATTACGAAGAAATTTAAAAAATAGTTTTTTTTTACACAAAGACAAAGATCCCCCTCCACCCCGTATAGCCTTAACAGACTGTTGGGGCAAGTGGTGTTAGCGAGTAGCACCTATGAAGGCCGGCACGGCACACGAGGGGGTGGGGGTGGCCAGCTCCACAACCGGCTGCCTTTTTCTCCCCAGTGGCGATGTTTGCACACCGCAGCAGGTACTCATTTGAGGCCGAGTCGACCTAGGGGATGCCCCGGGACCGGTTCAGATAGTCGTCACCGGTGTTGGCCGTGAGCGGGAATTGAACTCGGGTCGCCAGGTTCGTAGCGCGGCATAGCGCTAACCGCTGCACCACCGCTCCACGCGCAAAGACAAAGATCCCCCGTATAGCCCGAACAGACTGTTGGGGCAAGTGCTGTTCGCGAGCACCTATGCCGGCCTTCATAGATGCTCGCTCCCCGCTCACACACTCACACACACGCACTTTGGGGGGGAGGGGAGAGGGCGGTAAACACACGTGTAAACGTCGCTGGCATTACCCGGGTCCCGTGCCCCACCGATGACGCACGACGGACACACGCGTCGTCTGAAGAGGTGGGATCGCGTACGAGCGAGCGCTTCTCACCGTCAGTGACTTTATTGCTGTGCCCGCCACACACCAGGGTGGCGGAGCACGAGGAGGACGGGCACGAGTTGATGAAATAGTGCACTTGCAGAGTGTGAACGCGCGCGTGGAAGTTGACGCGTCCAACGTTGGCCCACATCGGCACGTCAAGTAAAACATACCGCGGGGAACGCTGGCGTTTGTCCCCCAAACCCCCCCTGTTGTTATTGGTATTACTCTCCTAATCATGCTCGTTTGCCCCTGGATAGCCTCAGCGAGTCTCCCCCTTTCGCGAGGGCCCTGCCATGTTTTTGCGGTAGGGATGGGTGGCGATGATGCTGCTGCTGCTGATGCTGCCGTGTGTAATCGCAAATGAGTAATGTTATCAGTATTTTTTTTCTTTCAGCATTGGGATGGTTTGGCCAATACCAGTTACATCGTTATTTTTTTTTCTCTCATAGCTATGGGAGGAAACCAGGGAACCCCGGAGGAAAACCCAATGACACACTCCAGGCTTGGAGCGACTATTTAAGCTGGGATGGAGGGGGGAAGGGCGCCTTGACAAAATAATTTGCATATCAAGAGGAATTTAACATATTTATGGGAAATGCAGATATGCGATTAGTACTACTTGTGAAATGCCTGGAGTGTGTCATTCAGACTCTGTCTCCCCGACAGACCTGTTCTTCACCTGAGGACGGCTGCTTGCATTGTGGCCGAAACGTCGTGAGAATTATTTTATTATGTTTTATTTTTATTATTTTATTATTTCCATTCTACGTGACTTTACCGAAAGAACCCAGAAGATGAATCCCTGCAGTCACGAAAGCTTTAAATCGAAATTTGCTTGTTGTTTTGTCGAGTTTGTTCTCCCGTTCCGCACCTCCGATTAGCACGGTTGGCTACGTACGGTGCGAAATAATTTCAACGTACGCAGTGCCGTGCGTTCCAGTCGGGTATCCGCGACAGCTGCCACCGATTGTCCGGCCAGAAATCCAGCTCCGCTGTATTCCCTCGTTATCCACGAAGTCATCGCAGGCGACCCCGCTGACATTTTGGCTATCCGCTGATCGCATCTGGAAGTCTACTACGCGACCGCATCTCGAGCGAGCGAGAGAGAAGTAACGAGATAAAGTGATGAGAGAGGATGTGATGAGAGAAAGTGATGATATGCAGCATTTATCAAATATTATTTTTTACTTTAATCATCATTTGTATTTACGTTATGTTTATTGGAACCAATTTATACTCCTTTGTGTTGTGATCATTTTCATCTATTCAATAGCTTACGTATGTATTTATTTCAGGTAAAATTGCCGTGGGCCAATAACGTCACGCGCGAAACTTGCTTTTCACGAGCACCTCTGGAAAGTATCACCTCGCGAATAACGATGGAATATCGTAATCCCTCTTGAAGCCTCACCTCCACATCCCCATTGGCCAGTCTCTCCCTCCTCCCTCCCCTCGCCCCTCCACTCCTTCCCGTCCCTCCCCGACAGCCATTTCGTGACCCCCGCCCTCCCCAAGTACCCGTCTATCGCTGCCACTCATTCCGCAATGCTTGCACCGCCCATGCCACCAGAAATTATTCTTTAACGATGGCGGGTTTTTTCTTTTTAATCGTCTTGAGCGCCTTGAGCAGAGGCGCTCGGTAAATGTAAAGCGAGATGAGAATAACCTCTCTCCGATTAACACTCGTCCCCTCTCCATGCGTTCACGCGTTCACGTGGACGCGTTCACGTGGACGCGTTCACGTGCACGCGTTCACGTGCACGCGTTCACGTGGACGCGTTCACGTGCACGCGTTCACGTGCACGCGTTCACGTGCACGCGTTCACGTGGACGCGTTCACGTGCACGCGTTCACGTGCACGCGTTCACGTGCACGCGTTCACGTGGACGCGTTCACGTGCACGCGTTCACGTGCACGCGTTCACGTGGACGCGTTCACGTGCACGCGTTCACGTGCACACGTTCACGTGCACGCTGCGGATGCGAATGGGAGGGCACGTATTTTCCGCGTGTAAATATTAGCGCTCGTGGGGGGGCACGTCCTGCCCGGTGACGGTGGTCGCAATGCCCGGTGGAAAAGTGAACAGTGATTGTTTATTTACAGAGAGACTGCTCTTGCCACGGCGACGTGGGATTTGAAGAACCAAAGTGGGATTTGAAGAACGAAAGTTTGGCGAGTATGGAGGCACCACGACGGCTTGAACGCAACGCGAACTGAACAATCTGATGAATCGCCGGCGTGCGTACGGCCAGAGGCGAATACAACCGCACACCGCTATCCACCCCACTACCCACTCACTACCAGCGCCCACCCACTACCAGCGTCTACCCAGGTGGCACCGATGCCCGACGTTCCACCCCACGTGCTGGCAGCTTCTTAAAGAACTGCAGAAGGTCGCCAAGCGTGCAACGCCGCAGCGTGCCCCCCACCCCACCCCCCGTTCGGAACGGGTCACAGCTGGGAGTGTGCCACCTTCGGTCAGACCACCCCCGGGGACCTCTTTACCTGCACTCGGAGGGGCTGGCGGCAAGGGTCACCGTGCTCTGGACGTGTCCTGCTAACGAGGTCACCGCCCGGAACTCACGTCGACGGTGGCGGCAGTGGGTGGGGAGCAGTGGTGCAGCGGTTGGCGCGCTGCGCCGCGAACCCGGCGACCCCGAGTTCGATTCGCGCTCACTGCCAGCAACACCGGTGACGATCATCTGAACTAGTCCTGGGCCTCGCCTAGGTCGACTCAGCCTTCAAACGAATATCTGGTGTGATGTGTAAAACATCGCCACTGGGGGAGACAAAGGCGGCCGGGCGTGGTGTTGGCAATCCACCCCATTGTGTGCTGCGCCGGCATTCAGAGGTTGCTACTCGCTAACAGCACTTGCCCCAACAGTCTGTTAAGGCTACATGAGGGGATCTTTGTTTTGGTGGGTGGTAGTGGTTGTGGTTGGTTTAGATGCCTGTGTTGGTCGCGGTGATGGTGGTGTTATTGGGTGTGGTGGTGTACTGGTCAAGCGCTGCACTGAACCTACGGACCTGGCGACCCACGTTCGATTCCCGCTCATGATCAATAAACAGTGGTGAATATTTCAAACGGTGCTGGGCCTGGGCCTCCCCTGGGTCGACTCAGCCTTAAAATTAGTACCTGGTGCGGTGTGTAAGCATCGCCACTGGGGAGACAAAGGCTGGGCACTCACCCCCTCGAGTCCCATGTTGGCCTTTGTAGGTACCCACTAACAGCACTTGCCCCAACAGCCTGCGTCGTCATTACGGGGAATCTTTGTCTTTTTGCCGATTGCTGACTTTCTGCATGTGTGTGTGCTGTTGGGTGTAGTGAGGTGTGTGTGTGTGTGTGTATGTGACGGTGAGTTGTTATTGCTGATAATGGGGGTGGGGATGACAGTGGTGGCAGTATCGGGGGTGACGGTGATGTCTGCGCTGTTATTGACGGCCGTGATGATGGTGATGATGAAGGTGGCGATATCTGGTTGCGATAGCGGCACCACTGGCGCCGCTATATGACATGGCAGTAGGGGACAGCGCCCGAGCTGTAAGCGCACTGCGCATCGGACGGGCAGGGCAGGCCCTGGGGGCACGCGGCCTCGCACAGCACGGGCGTGGCGAGGGCCAGGCTGCGCGGGCTCCCCGCCAGGTCCAGGCCCGACAGGAGGCTGCAGGAGCCGCCCGCAGCCCCCGCGGGCCCCGCCGCGCCGTGCTGCAGGCCCCGCACCCACGTCAGCAGCTCCACGGCCTTGGCCACGAGGCCCGACGCGCCCTCGGGCCGTGGGGCCAAGGGCCGCCGGCTCTGCGCGAGCGGGCCCGACAGGCACAGGTTGAGCAGGCGGAAGCTGTCGAGCAGCTCGCTCACTTTGACGGGCCCCGGGGCCCGGCCGCCGTGGGCCTCCCCCGCGCGCAGCGGCACGTCGAGGGGGGCGGCCCCCCGCGGCAGGTTCGCGCACGAGAGGCCCCGGGGCACGGGGCTCGCCCCGCGCACGCGCCCGCCCTTCCCTTCGGCCCCGTCCGAGGGGCCGCCCGCTGTCGGCCCCTCGTCGTCAAGGGGCGCCGGAGCCACGCCGTCGCCTGGCGCGCCCCTCCTCGTGGTGCCGCCACCGCCGCCCCCCCCCGGCCGCGCGGCGGCGCCGCCCCGCGACGAGCCGGCGCCCGCGGGGTCCCGCTCCGTCGGGCCGCCCGGCCCGGGCGCGGAGGGCTGCAGGCCGCCACCCTCGCCGCCTCCACCGCCGGGCGGGGGACGGTCGTCGCGACGGTCCCCGTGCGTCCGCGCCAGCCCCGCGTCGCCGCTGTCGTCACGCCGCCGCCGCCGCCAGCTCTCCGAGTCCTCGTCGCTCGTCTCCGAGCTGCTGCAGCTCGAGCCGCGGCCCTGGCTCGGAGGGCGCTGCTTGCGCGGGCGGTGCGGGGGGGCCTCCGATGGGGACGGCGCCGCCGCCGCCGCCGCTGCGGCCTTTTCGGGGGGCTCCGGCGCGCCGTCCCTGTCGTCGTCCTCCGACTCGCCCTCCTCCTCGAAGATCTGGTTGAGCACCGGCGCGCTCTTGCGGGCCGTGAGCCGGCTGGTGAGTGAGGCCTTCTGCCGGAACACGACCTGCGCGGCGCCCGCGGCCGCCCGCTCCTCCCGCGCCGCCTCCTCGTCCTCCTCCCCCAGGGAGGACAGCGGGGGTTTGCTCTCCCGCGCCGGTTTCTCGGGCATCCGCGGCTCGCCCCTCCGGCCCTCGGGCCCCTTGTGGCCGGGGCCCTTGCACTTGGTGGAGCCGGCGCGAGGCATGGGGAGCGGCGGGACGGCCCGCATGGACGGGAGGTCCTCGACGTCCTCCACCTTGTCCAGCTTGGTCGGCCATGACTGCCTGCGGCGGAGGAACGGCGTGTGGACACGTCGTGTTATCGTCGTCGTCGTCACGACTAGATTGAATACACGTTTCTCAACGCGTCTGGTTTGTTGTCCTTCCACCGCACCTCCGGTTAGCGCGGTGCGGAAGAAGTTCAACGTGCACGCGTACAATCGCGACTCGTCGTTAGTTTTGGGGGTGAAGCCATGTAATGATCTCGGCAAATTCACGCCGTGATGGATTTGATGGTCACAGTGGTACCGATGGTGGTGGTGACGGTTTTGTTGGTCATGGCAGTTGCAATGGTAGTGACGATCGTGGTGGTGGTAGTGGTGGTGGTGGTGCTGGCGGTGATTACGGTGGTCGAGGCCGTGAGTGCCCGTTACCTGAACTGCGTCTTGCTGCTGCCGGGGCCCCCCGATCTGGGTGCCCCCTGCGTCCCCCCCTCCTGCTTCTCGCGCAGGAGGCGCTCCGCCAGGAGGTAGTAGGTGGCCGTGATGTGGTTATAGCGGTCGGCCTCCAACGCCCTGCTCAGCCACACACGCGCACACACGGCACGACTGCCCTTACGGCCTCCAACGCCGTGTGCCGGTGCGGCATGTTAGTGCGGTGCAGTTTGGGTGCCGTGCGGCGTGTGTCCGCGCCGCGTGTGTGCAGTGCTGCCTGGCGCAAGTTTGCTGTGGCGTGTGGCTGCGGTACTGCGTGGCGCGGGTATGGTGTGGCGTGTGGGTGCGGTGCTGAGTGGCGCTAGTTTGGTGTGGCGTGTAGGTGCGGTGCTGGGTGGCGCAAGTTTGGTGTGGCGCGGGTATGGTGTGGCGTGTGGGTGCGGTGCTGCATGGCGCGGGTATGGTGTGGGCACGGTGACGCCGCTCACTCGACGATGGTGTCCCGGTCGGCGATGCTGCCCAGCACCATGCCCTGCACGATGCTGCTGTGCTCGCGCTCCGACAGGCTGCGGTGCGACGTGAGGGGCGCTGGCGTGGCCAGTGCCGGGTCCGTGCCCCCAAGCCACGGGTGGGCACCGATCTCCTCCAGCGTGGCGCGCTGCCGCGGCTCGCGCTGCAACATCTGCCCAATCAGCCTGGGCACGGATGGGGCGCACACGTGGGGGGGGGGGGGGCACACGTGGTGGGGCACACGTGGGGGGCACACGTGGGGGGCACACGTGGGGGGCACAGACCCGAGAGAGACATGGGACAGATGGGGGTCAGACAGGGGTGAGATAGCGGATTAATTTACTCACTATCAGCACTTGCCCCAACAGTCTCTTTACGAGCACGTGTGTGTGTGTGTCTGTTTGTGTGCGAGGTGTGGGGCGTGGTGGTGTAGCGGTTAGCGCGCTGTGCTCCCAACCTGGCGGCAAACACCAAGTGACGATTATCCGAACCGGTCCTGGGCCTTCCCTACGTCGACTCAGCCTCAAATGAGTACCTGGTGCTGTGTGTAAATCTATCGCCACTGGGGCGACAAAGGTGGCCAGGTGTGGTGCTGGCCACCCTCTCCCTCGTGTGCTGTGCCGGTATTCATAGGTGCTACTCGCTATCGCTAACAGCACTTGCCCCAAAAGTCTGTTATGGCTACATGGGCGATCTGCCGTCATCTCGTAGGGGTTGTTAACCAGTAACCGTTTTAAAATCGGTTACCAGATCCCAAAGTCACAAACTGGTGACCGATCCCAGTGGAAATTAAGGGCGCCACTGGGGAGCTATGCACTTTGAAATCTAAATTTAAAAAAACATTTCTTTAAAACAGTTTTTTTTTGTGTTGAGTTTGTTGTCCTTCCCCCACACCTCCGATTAGTACGGTTGGCGACGAACGGTGCGAAAGAAGTTCTACATACATGCACAGCTCAACGAAGCGGCTTATCGCATGGACATTTATAGCAACCAAAATACTCTGAGCACACGCTGATTTCTAAATGTGTGTGGGGGGGGGGGGGGGGAAACGGGAGGACCCGGAGAAACCCCCACGCGACCACAGGGAGAGAGAGACACGTAAACTCCAAATATGCAGGTGACGTCAGGGTCAGTGATCAAACCCGCGACTTCCTGCATACCAGGCGAGGCAGTTAACATCTCACCACCGTGATGTTCCACTTGCTGTCAAGCGGTTAGTCAATGTACAAAATAGGCAACGTTCCGGGCAACACCCCTTCTTCATAGCACAAGTTGTATTCGCGGAACTTTTCTACGCATGCAGAAAACGGGTTTTCACCGGTTCTTGACCGTGATTCTTTTTATGCGGGGATCGTTAACGGGACAAAATGCAGGCACGACGGTAACGCATGTGCGTGCGAGCGAGGACGTTTGTGCGTGCGTGCGAGCGTGCATGTGCGTGCGTGTGGGCGCCCGATGGCTTTGCCACTCACTCGGTGCACTCCCGGCTCACGTGCGCAGGCACCGTGTACTTGCAGTCCATGATCATGGTGAGCGTCTCGCTGTCGTTGGCCTCCTGGAAGGGCGGGTGTCCGCACACCAGCATGTACAAGATCACGCCCAGGCTCCAGATGTCTGCCGCATCACCGCACCAGGGGGCAGACAGACAGCCGCGCACGTGAGAATGGATGGATGGACAAAATCGCATTCAGAGTGGGCTCTATCTAATTACAGGCGCACGCCTGAAATTAAAAATGTGCGTTTGTTATTGATGCTGGTTTACCCAGGAAAGCGTTGCTGAGTCTCAAAACTTATTTTCAAGAATGCCCTGCCAGGTTTTTGTCGTGTGGTGGGGGAGAGGGGGGGGGTGCTGCGTGTATGTACGTATGTGTGTATGTTTATATGTTGGCTGGGTCATGTAGCCCGCTTTTGTTTGGCTGGATAGAGGGGGTTGAATGAGCGCGGCAAGGGCTCGAGAAGAGATGGAGTGATGTGGTACAGGAAGACATGGAGCTGAGTGGACTTTCCAATAACTGGTACCAGCGGTGTCAAGATCGGCCTCTGTGGAGGAGGTTCGTGAAGGATGCTACTGGGCAGTTGGAGGCAGTCGCCCTCCAGCAACAATGGAGGGCAGAAGAGCAACTTTCACAACAACGAGCGGAGCGCCACGCAGCTAAAACGCAGCAAGTTGGCACAGTAGGGGGCACAGGTGGTACATCGACCAGTCATTTCAGGCAGTCGACCCATGGCACCTGGGTCTGTCCCGTGACCTCCTGCCACCGGGCGTTCGAAACTTCACGTGGCCTTAACGTGCAAATAGCCTGGCACAAGCGCCGTGGTGACGTCACTGCCACTTCGAGGCGAATGGCAGTTGTTGTTGTTCTTTTGCACCGTACGTAGCCACACACACTGAGGTGTGTGGGGGTAGGACAACAAATTAAACACAAACATTAGTCTCAAAGAAAAGAGTTTTACATCTAGATTTAAATTGCAAAGCTTAAGTGGCTTCCTAATAAACCGAATCGAGAAATTTACAGGTGATTTTTCAGCATTGGGATGATGTTTTGGCCAAGGTCAGTTACTCAAACTCAACCGAAACTTTATCTTTTTACCAGCTAAGGCCCACTGAGCTATGTAGCTCTGTTTCAGAATGTATGTATGAGGATCTATCCCGCACCTCCGATTAGCATGGTTGTCTACGTATGGTGCGAAAGAAGTTCAACATACGTGTGTAAGTATATTGAACATATTTTGCACCTAGGCTTTCGCAACCAATATTATTCATAATCAATGTTTTTGGGTTTAGATCGCGTTATTTATAAATGTGTCGTAACCCCTCACCACCCGACACGGCCAATCAGTAAAAAAGTGTCACGTTGACAAAAGACAAATAGTTCACTGCTTTAGCCCACCGGTGTGTTGAAGCGTGAAACCACAACATTTACAATTTGAGTAGCACGACGTTTCGCTGGTAATTGCATCCAGCATCATCGGGCGAATTGCTTCAACACACCGGTGGGCTAAAGCAGCGAACTATTTGTCTTTTGTCAACGTGACACTTTTTTACTGATTGGCCGTGTCGGGTGGTGGAGGGTTACGACACATTTATAAATAACGCGATCTAAACCCAAAAACGTTGATTATGAATATTTTGCACCGTACATAGCCAACCGTACGCAAGGTGTGGGCGGCCGCCTTTGTCTCCCCAAATGACGACATTTACACTTCGCAACAGGTGCTCATTTTGAGGCCGAGTCGACCTAGGGGAGGCCCAGGACGAGGTTCGAGGTTCCAATAATCGAAGCCCGGGTCGCCGGGTTCGTATCGCAGCGCAGCGCTCACCGCTCTACTACCGCACAGGCCTCACGCACGCTCCCAAAGCGCAGCCGTGGCTGGTGTGTGCATGTGCGTGCGTTAATTGAGACTGGGAGAAATGATGAATACTCAATGCATTTGTAAGCAGCGGGGGGTGTGGGGTGGGGGGGCATCATTCCGCATTAATATTCACACGATAATCTAAGTCGGCTAGCCAATGATGGATGGCCTTTGCATTGGCATTGATTTAGCCGCAGTCAACTCGGAGGCCGGTGAGGTGGGAGGGCAGGGGGGGGGGGGGGCGAGCGACCTTTTCGCCAATGAAAATCCATACCATGCTTTGTGTACGATCCGAATTATCGTTTTAATCCATTTCCGTAACTAGGGGTTCATGCACTTCCGGTTGGATTTGGAGAGTCAGTTTGTTGCAAGACAATTTGCATTGCAGTGTGAGGAATTGCGTTAAGAAATGGGATCTTTTTTGGCAGTATCAAAGTATGAAAAAATAAAAATAGGTTTTTTATCATTTCTGGCAATAAAACAGGAGGTGGTACCATGTTCAAACAGCAAATGGAAACCTTTTGCAAGTTCGCGTTAACCACACACGGTACTTGTGGTAAACATGCAAACAAACTGGTAATATATATTAATAAAGGGTAAAACCTATTCTTATTTTTTCATACTTTGATACTGCCAAAAAAGGTCCCATTTTGTAGCTGCTCTAATCCGAGCTATAAATGCTCTGATACTGGTAGGAACCTCCTGGTTACACCAGCCCACAGGGGATTATTGTGTCTGTCCGTCCATCGTGCATCCAAAAATGGGAGGGGTGGGGCCGGGTGGAGAGGGGAGGGTGGGGAGGGGCTGGGTGGGGAGGGTGAGGAGGAGCTGGGTGGGGAGGGGCTGGGTGGGGAGGGTGGGGCTGGGTGGGGAGGGGCTGGTCACCCCGTAGTGCCCTTATTAAACTCAACGTTTAACCTACTCACACCGGCTTGTGCCCGCCCTCACAGTCGGGCATATTTGCGGAATACACCACGCCGCCGTTGACCCTGGCCATTGACCGAGCAACCCAACGTTCCTACCAGCTCCCTCCGCAGGAATGTGTTAGTGGCATTGTCTTTGTGCTGTTCGCCTTTTGGCATTCTCTGGTCTGACATCTGGTGGTGAGACGAGGCCCTAAAGAAGGCTGTCTCTGATGGAGGACAATCCGTTTCAAAGACATTGCCATTGTCACGTTAAGAAAAAAACACCACTTTTTAAAAAAAATTATTGCTGTGGATTTGACACCTGATGATGGTTGCTTGTGTTTGCAGTCGAAACGTCGTGAGCATTTTATTGTTTTATATTTTTACTTTATTATTTCCCTTCTACGTGACTTTACCAAAAGAACCAAGTATATACATTGCCATCTATTAATTACCAGAGCATTTTTGTTTGCACGTTCACCACAGGTACCGTGTGCTTAATTTCGAACTTGATTCCTTGCAAAAAGGTTTCTATTCAGTGTTTGAACATCTTAATAACGTTTTTATTATTATTATTATTTTTGGTTCTTTCGGTAAAGTCACGTAGAAGGGAAATAATAAAATAATACAAATATTAAACAATAAAAATTCTCACGATGTTTCGACTGCAACCACAGCAAGAAAATTTGAAAAAAAACGGTTTTATTGCCAGAAAGGGTAAAACAAATTCCTATTTTTTCATGCAGGAATAGTGATGTCTAAGAATGTGTTCACTTAAACGCAGTCGCTAAGGACAGGCCCCGGTGGCCCAAATTGCCACGTTTGGCGAGCCGATGATCTGAGTCCGGTCACCAGAGACTACACAATTATTCTTATCACGCTTGATTAAGCTTGTTTTAGCCAGGAAATCCTCCTTGAGACTCGAAGACACTTTTTTCAGGAGGGTCTTGCCAAGTTTTCACAGTCAGGGCGGCGATGTTGCTGTTGCTGTGTGTGTGTGTGTGAGATCCAAATTGAGGAATTTACAGGTAATTTTTCACCAATTGGATGTTTTGGCTAATACTAGTTGCATTGTGTGTGTGAACGGGTGTTTAGCTATGGGCATGGAGAGTGGTGGTGCAGCAGTTAGCGCGCCGCGCTACGAACCAGGCCAACACCGGTGACGATTATTTGAACCGGCCCTGGGCCTCACCTAGGTCGACTCAGCCTCAAATGAATAACTGGTCCGGTGTGTAAACATTGCCACTAGAGCTGGCCACCTACCCCCTCGTGTGCCGTGCCAGCCTTCATAGGTACCGTTTGCTAACAACACTTGCCCCAACAGTCTGCTAAAGGTGCAACAGGGACTTTTATCTTGAGCTTTGGGAGGAAACCAGAGATGCCAGTGTGACCACTGCAACGTACTGCCATCCAATTACACTTCGTGTGTGTGATATTGGCATCTGGCCAGGGCAATTAGATTTTTCTTTACATTGCGAGTTTCCTTACAGCAGTAAGTATAGCCATGAGCGGATTTTTGGCAGATGTGGCCAGCCAGGTGGCCAAGCAGATGAGCAAATCGGTTGTGGCGGTTCATTTGGCCCATCATCACCCCCACTGGGTTCGATAAAATGAGTACCACTCTGTGGGGACGTGGTCAATGGTCGTCCTAGGGGAGAGACGCTCTCGCTCCCGATGTCGGAACGTGTAAAATTCCACCACGCCAAGGTGTAACCCTTTCAGCGCCGCTTTTTTTTTTGCCTCCCGTGTTTTAATTTGGCTGGATTTTATGACGGGCGAGTCCCCACTAGAAACACGACTCTGCACCTGACGCTTCGTCGTACGTACATACGTACGTACACGTGCTAATCATTCGCACTGCGCCAACTTGATGAGCGATACTGTGCGCCCGCGTTACCGATGGACGGACGGACCGTACGGACGGGGCCAAAGCATGGACGCTTTTGACCTTATCTTGGAATGCGTCGGATGTGGCGCGGGGTTCAGCGAGTTCGAAAAGGGAACATTTGAGATCTGGAAGCCGCTCAATTCTCTGCGCCAGCCGAGCAATCCGCGTGCATCGCACCGATCCACACCGGTGGCCTCCAGTCACGAGGCGCTCGCCTCCGATAGGGGCTGCCGCCGTGAAGGCGATGGGCGGGTCGGCATTGGCACGAGTTCAAGGTGATTATGTTTAGCCAGGCGAGAACCGAAGGGAATGAGTCTCGCTTTGCGAGTGGGACCCGAGTCACCAAATCTATTGAAGCAAATCAGGGAAAAACGAAGGACAGCGGTGAAGCAAATGTAAATCTAAAAAACTACCGAATTTAAATCAGAGCAGAGAGATCCGCAGCCCAGAAGAACTCGAAAATGGAGCACAAACAACAAATATATATCAAACAACAACAACAGCAACAGGCAAGAGGTGTGGGCATCACAGCCCCTGCCTGTAACTCGCGCGTGCGTGTTAATTTCTGCGCGTTTCTCCAACGCTCGAGTCACCAAACTAAAAATCGTTCGGGATTGCCCCGTGTGCTCAGCTGGTGTGCAAAGTCGTAACACAGCAAAGCAAAGGTGCAGTCCTGTAACTGCTCACTCGCAACACCGCTGGCAGAAGGGGCTTCTCGCCACAGTGGCTAGGAGATGTTAACTACCTCGCCTGGTATACAGGAGGTCGTGGGTTCGATCGCGACCCTGACGCCTGTTGTATATTTGGAGTTTGCGTGTCTCTCTCTCCGTGGTCGAGTCGATTTTATTTGGGTCCTCCCGTTTTCCCCTCCACATATATAATCAACGTCACGCGTTTAGAGTATTTCACTGCTGTAAATGTCCACGCGATAAGCCACTTTCGTTGAGCTATCGTTTGTGATAACCAGGTCGCTGCTGAAAAAGAGCTACATAGCTCAGTGGGCCTTACCTGATCAAATAAAAAAATAGTTTGGTTTGAATTTAGTTTTTAGTTTACAAAGGTGATAAAGGTTTGCATTTATCGCTCTGAACATTTATGCACCTGCGGAAAACCGGTAACCTTTCTTTTTGTGCCAAAACAAACCAAAAAAACACCATTCTAAAATCCACCACCGATGCTAACGCGGAGATAAATGAATCCAGAGATGCGCCCCATGAATGAAACTCGTTGAGGAAAGCCGAGTCGGGTTAAAGTTTGACCAGATCCACTTGTTTACGCATTCCCCCGTGGACTTTGGTATGCGCCCTAATCAACGACACAAGCACGGCGGCAGGGACTTATTGAATCACGCAGGCTCGACGTTGTTCTGCGGCGAGCACACACGACGCCGCAGCTTGCGCATTCCGGACGGGTGTGGGTGGATGAGTGGGTGGCATGACGGAATATCTCCCGAACTCCCCCCCCACCACCCCTCCACCACCCCTGATCTGACGCAAGTGGCAGCATCATAACCGCATGCCTTGAAAGCTGGCTCGTGAAACTTGTTTAAACTCGAAACTCGATGCCTTTTGTCGGAACCAGTGACGGACTGGGACAAAAAAAAATCACACTCAGGAATTTGTAAACACATCGGCCCAAATTCTGGCTACGGGGATAGCTGGATGTTGCCACGTGACGCCGTACGAACGTGATTTTTACGTGCGATCTCATTCGCCCATTTGGGGCTGGCTCCAAAAAGCAAACCGTGCCGGCAAATCTTTGGGGCTGCCGAATATACGGGGACTTCATGCCAACTGAGAGCATGAATAAGCAATCAAGGGAACACATTAGGAGGTTACATTTTTTTTCAAACGAATATATATATTTATATATATAATAATAAAAAAATTTTGACTCTGATCACATTCGCAATTTCCCCAGGCAGACCGGCCCACCAGCCCACCGGCCCTCACATTGGATCAACCCCACCGGGGAATTTGCCCTACGGACTACTGCCCCTATGGCCAGTTCAGGCCTAGTGGGAACTTTCCAAGCACGGGGGTTTGTTTAGCGGCCACAGCAGACGCGTTGTTTGGGCGCAGTGCTTTCCGGCGGGCGGAGCTATCGAGTTGAACCCCTCACTTGAGACAAAAACGCCACACCGCCTGGTTTTGACATTCCTCTTCCTCCTCCTGAAAGACAAAGATACCCCAGATAGCCTTAGACAACTTTTTGAGCAAGTGCTATTCGCGAGCACCTAGGGGGTGGGTGGCCAGCAACCATGCCAGGCCACATTTGTCTCCGCAGTGGCGATGTTTTTACACGCCGCACAAGGTACACATTTTAGGCTGAGTCTACCTCGGGGAGGCCCAGGATCGGCTCAGATAATTGTCGCTGGTGCTGGCCGTGAGCGTATTTCGAACTCGGGTCGCCAGGTTCATCGTACGGCGCTCCAACCACTACACTACCGCTGATGCTGCTATAATTGGCCAAGCAATGCGGGAACAACCTCCTTTAAACAGTAAGGACATATGTCATCCATCTAGCAAAATCCGGACAAACTTCAAAGTGAGCATAGGCCTTGCCAACACTGTGCAGTCTACTGCAGCAGCAAAGTTCGATCACAGTGCCCGTACCAGATCTCGGTACAATTCAATTCCTGTTGCCACCCGAACACAGACGCCAATACTCAGAATGTATCAGGTCAAACCTGGACAGGTGGAAACCTTTCCGTTAGAAGACCAAAGGATTCGAGAAAAATCTCAGTCGCTAGCCTCCCTCCCCCCTGTCTCTAAGACACACACACACACACCGGCAGGCAACGTACGCACGCATTCGCAAGGAGCAGAAACTTTTCGGAAGCGCCTGCCACTCCGATTAAACATTTCCGCGTCCTTTCTCTGCGCCTGAGGGAAGGTGGCTTTAATGAAAATCACAACGCGGGGCCTGGACAGGCAAGCGCGCACGGCCGCCCGCTGGAGGGGGGGGGGGTGGAGAACTCCCCCCACACCCCGCCTACCGCTGCTTTGAGCGCGGAACGAACGGCACCCTCGGAACATCAAAGGGACGACGCCAAATCTCTCCGTTACACGGTGACGCTAATCCCGCGCCGCGGCTCAGCGGGCGGAGAGAGCGAGCGACGCGGGCCCTGGTCCTCCTCTCATGTCGCCGGGCGACGTTGGGTGGCAGCTGCTGCACGTGGTTGCGTGCGATCCGGCACCACGTTGGCTTAGCCCGTCAATCCCTCCGCCGCGCAAGTTGAGGACCGATTGTTTCGTCTCGTCGAGCGGTTCGACCAACAACAACACGCTCACTCACTCACCCACGTATTCACTCACCCACGTATTCACTCACCCACGCATTCACTCACCCACTCATTCACTCAACCCATCCACTCGCTTACACGCTCACTCGTTTACACACTCACCTTACGATTACTTCTCTTCCCTGGTTATATTCAATTTCTCAGGCGACAATTGTTTCCGCTCGGATTGCTATTCGCTTCAAATGCTCTACTTTGTTTTAAGTTTTTTGTTGTTTACTTATTTATTCGTAATTTTAGTGGCCCGGGTCACTCATCCTGGTCTCTTTGAGTTGTCAAAGTTAACTTGCGAACGAAATTAGCGACAAATACATCTGTCACCGAAGGGTTTTTATAATTTTAGTTGACAATGGCTACGGTTGGACGAAATCATCGAGCGCGACGACGATTACGACTCTCCAATTACCACCGAGTGGGTAACTTGTGGTGTCATTGAAATTAAAGAAAAACATACAAAAAATTCGGACCGTGACATGTTCTTTTTTTACCATTCTTCGAACAACATCGCAGGATTTATCCGCAACGGCCGACCACCCGCAAGTCACCATGGCACCGCGGTGGTGGGATGTTAACGACCTCGCCTAGTCCATTCCATTCATTGGCTACCACATTCTGATAAGCCCCCCCTCCCCCTTAACTTGTATTTAAGAACTTACATCTTGGAATCCCTGCCTCACTTGATACAGCAAATCTGGCTGTGACGGTCCCACCTGATGACGGAGACTTGTGTTGCCTCCGAAACGTCGTGATTTTTATTATTTTATTTTTTATAAATTTTAATTTCATTTTTTACCTACATGACTTTACCGAAAGAACTAAGAGTATGAGGTATCATTTGTGGCCAGGTCGCTTCTGAAAAAAACCAAAATAGCTCAGTGGGCCTGACCTGATAAAATAAAAAAAATTGTAATAATAATTTGTAAAATAGTCAGCGAGCAAAGCGAGTGGACGGGCGCGCGAGGCGCGATTTACGGCCAGCACAGCGCCATTAACCGGGGGCGGCCCACCGGATCCGAGCCCGCGACGGCGCACGCCGGCGCTTACCAACGGCGGCGCTTACCAACGGCGGGCGCGTCGTACTCGTCGCCCAGCAGGATCTCGGGCGCGGCGTAGGCCAGTGAGCCGCAGCTCGTCGCCAGCTTGGTGCCCGGCTGGAAGCGGTTGCTGAAGCCGAAGTCGGTGAGCTTGAGTCGGCGGAGGCGCGGGAAGAACACCACGTTCTCGGGCTTGAGGTCTCGGTGGACCACGTGCAGCCGGTGGCAGTAGGCGATGGCGCACAGGATCTGAGCGAAGTAGTGCTTGGCGTCGGGCTCCTGTAGGCCCCCCTCGTGGCGCATGATGTAGTCGTAGAGGTCACCCCCCTCGGCCAGCTCGAGGATTAGGTAGAGCTTGCTGGCCGTGTCGATCACCTGCGATGGCGATGGGGAGGGGGGCGGGGGGGGGGGACGCGCAGATGCGTACGTTAGTCACGTGGCGTTTACTTTTTCCGTTGTCGCTTGCGCGCTTTGTTGCGGCAGCGTTTTCTCGATACGTTTATTCGTTTCTGATTTTGCTTGGTAGCGGGGCTTTCGCTTGCTTGGTAGTGGATGTATTTGGGATTTGGCCCTCATGTATGGTGTCGAGACGTTAACTACCTCTGCCTGAATTTTTTTAAGACTCTGTCTTATCGACAGACCTGTTCTTCACCTGAGGACGGCTGCTTGCGTTGTGGCCGAAACGTCGTGATAATTATTTTATTATGTTTAATTTTTATTACTTTATTATTTCCATTCTACGTGACTTTACCGAAAGAACCAAGAAGAAGATACCTCTGCCTGGTACGCGGGAGCCTGCTGCGAGATTATGAATTGATCGGGAGAGGGGGGGAGAGAGAGCCCCGTCCGATTTCTTTGTAGCTTGGCACCCGGGCCTCTCCAGCCCCTCCTGCCCCGGTGTCATCGCACCGCCTGCGCACCCGTTAGCTACCTTCAATTAGCGCGTTTGTCTACGTACGGTGTGAAAGAAGTTCAACACACGTGCTCCCGGCGCCGACCTCTTGGGTTCCAATGAAGGCTGCCTTTCATGGCTCTGCACCACTGCTCACGGGCTCGGAATTTGTGAACGCGGAGCGACGAGAACGCTGCGTTCCTGAACGTGGCCACACCGTGGCGGGCATCGTGAACACGATGACGCCCATTAACCCCGTTGACGCGACCTGTAATTAAGCCAATTAAATGTAATTACCCTCCTCCCTCCCCCCCCCCTGTGCCAATCCGCACCGCAACACATGCAAACTTTCCCAAAAGTTAATTTTAAACTTTAAATGCTCCTCTCCAGAGACGACCCCCCCTCCTCCACCCTCCTTCCTCGAATTATAGGCCATGCTGTTTGACGATGAGCGGAGTGGTGCTGAGGTGGTTAGCACACCACGCCACAAATCGGGCATGAGTATATTCTTGCTTCCACAATGAGTTGTTGCCATTGATGCTCATGTATTGACGCGCCAATCATTTATTTCCGTTTTTCGGCCCTCTGCCGCGCAAAAACAAGCCACAGTGGTCTGAATCTATGCATGAGAGTGGTGGGGCAGAGCCGTGAATGGTGCACGGTCCTCCCTCTGAACCTGGCGACCGGGAGTTTGACTCCTCGCCACGGCTAACATCGGTGGCGAACGACATTTGAACCGGTCCTGACTGCCAAACCTCAACACTGCCCTTCACGCTCCAAACTCTGCAGCCCTCTGAATATCTAATGTATTTTCAGCCATAACACAAGTTTTTTTTGGATTAAATCGTGTGAATATGTGTGTCCTGAAACCCTCCATCACCTGACACAACCAATTAGTAAGGTTTGTTGACATAAACAGAACGTGGCCAATTCGTTACTAGTACAGCACACCGGTGTGTTGGAGAGCAAAGCCACAACATTTACAATCTGAGTACGACGTTTCGCCAGTAATTACAACTAGCTTCATCAGGCGACAGCCAGATTTGGGGAGAAATCCTCCAGTTTCGTTCCCTAAATAGAGGGGCAGATGTGAAGACATCACTTGCAATGCTCATTGATTGCACTGGTCAACAAAAACAAAAAACATTTTCTGGCCTGGACTTTTGCAGCTGTTCTAGACTAATTTCAGAGTGCTGATTTCAAATCTGATCTCAGATTTGCTCTATCACATATCATTTTTATGCTATCGGCATACCCCATTTTCATTGATTTTACCCGAAATTAACTCTGTCACTTATGATTGCAAGTTGTTGCGAGTCAGTGACTGCTTTAGTGTTAAAATATGGTGCTGTATTTTTAGGATAGTGTGTTTATAATATAATTTTATGCAGATATCCACATTTATTTAATATTTTTCTTCTGCAGTTTTTATTGAAATTGCAATATTTGATATCTCAAAAACCTGATGTGATAGACAAAAACTGATGCCAGATTTGGAATCAGCACCCCACAATTACCTTAATACCGTTGGAATACCTTATACCAGAAAAAGTGTCTTGACCAGTGTTATCAACGACATTAATGAATGAGCGTTCTATCACTTTAACGTTTCACGTTGACGCACCTCGTAGAGTCGCACGATGTTTGGGTGCTGCACCAGCTTCATGCAGCGCACCTCCTGGAAGAGGTGGGCACGTGCCTCCACGTCCAGCTTGCTCTTGTCGATGACCTTGACGGCGACTCGCTCGCCCGTGAACACGTGGCGCGCCAGCTTCACCACGGCAAAGTGGCCCTTGCCCAGCGTGCGCTCCAGGTCGTACAGGCCGGCCATCTGGCCGTCGTGACCCCGCTTGTATCCCGCCATGGCCGCACTCCCGTCGTCTGAATAAAGGAAGAAAAAAAACGACTACGTGGCCTCCGTCGGACGCCGCGGACGTTTCTGGAGGTGCGCGGTGGGGGGGGGGGGGGGGTGTTCGCTCTCTGAGTTTATCGTCGGCCGGAGGGAGACGACGGTTGTGGCGGCGATGAATTAATCCGTGGTGACCGCTCGAGAACGAAGGCCATGCACGCAGCGTTAGCACGTGTTGCCTGCCGTGTGGACGCCTTCATGTGTTGCCGCCTGCAGCCATAGCCGCTCGCTGCATCGCCAGGGCGGGCCAGTCGATAAAGTGCGAGGCCCCGACCGGCGACAGGACGGAGACGGAGCGGCGGCGGGGGGGGCGGGCAAGTGGCCGATGAGACCTCCAGGGTGTCCGAACCGGGTGGGGGGGGAGGGTGTCAGTGTGCCACACGCTACACGTGTGCTACAAGCGTGGCCAGCGTTCCGTCTCGCTGCGTCTCTGCTCGTCATCCGCTCTCGGCTGCTCTCCTCCCCGTTGCTCGCCCACTCTCTAGCGACAGCTCAACGGCACGAGCTGCATCTGCAAGACAAATACAAAAGCAGGCACTGATTTAGTGTCGGTATTACGATTGCCCTTAATTTAGCCAGGTAAGCCTCACCGAGCTGCTGTGCAGTCCCACGTGAGAAACGTGCGGAGTACTTTTTTCCACCGAACGGTTCTCAAATTACTCTTTGGTTCTTTCGGTAAAGTCACGTAGGTGAAAATAATGATAAAATATAAAAGTGAAAACAACTCAATTAAATCGCGACGTTTCGGGCGCAACACAAGCGTCCTTCATTAGGTGGGGACCACCACAGCGAAAACAGTTGCTGAGGTATGCCAAAGAGGTGGCTTTGACAAGGGTTTATATAGTTGAGGAGGGTGGGGGGTGGGAACGAGGGCAGGGTGAGTGTGGGGGCGGGCCGTGGGCTGGAGAAGCTAATCCTAAGGGTGGACGTGATGCTCCTGGGCATGCTGATCATACTGCTCCTGTACATCCGATGGGGGGCGGGCGAGAGTGAGATTGGGGGACAAATTTGCACGATTGAAGCACTGCACGTCAAATTTCCTAGTGACGGTAGTGTGCAAGGCTGGGAATAAAAGACTGGAGATGTGGATATGAATATAAACTATAAGGTTCTCAAATTGTGGACCATGACGCATCCACACGATGACATCCGCACTCGTTTCGAACGACGCCACGGGGATCGTTGACGTCCACCGCGAGTGAAGCAGACGGCATCCAGCACTGTTCATACACTCCCCGACGCGGTATTAACCAGGGCGTCCGCCGGGCTCGAACCTCTGCAACGAGCTGTGAAGGCGCTACCGCTGGGCCACGTCCATCACGCCTCCGATTAGCACGTTTGGCTACGTACGGTGCGAAAGAAGTTCAACTGACATTCACACTAGTTATTTCCCCCCTTACCCCTCTCCCCATATAAATATCCACGCCTCCTGCACGTGATCCCCACCTGGGTGGGGGCAGCGAGCCCAATTTCCCCCCTTCATAGGGCCCTTGTCGCGCCGAAATCGGGTCGCTGTTACGCGGCGTTTCTGTTCCCCCTCCGCTCTGCGATCGGTGTTTTGTACCGGGCTCGCGTTGTAAGTAAAAAGTTTTTTTTTAAAGATCGCCGTGTACTCTGCTCGAGTGGGGGGGGGGGGGGGGATCTGCCAACTGCGCTGCGTGGCACAGCGACGCACGGACTCAATTAACCCTTTCCCATTCCGATGACGCACGCGTAACGTCGCGGGGGCGGAATTGGAAGCAAAAATGTAAGTAGAAAATAACATAATCCGCAAGGCCACGCTCGGGAGGGCGTTTGGCATAGTTTGGCAAATAGCTATCGTAGAGTGCGGCGCTACAACCACGCCTCTCTATATAACATGAACGCTGAGCCGCACGCGCGTTCCGAGATTCGGCGGTGAACAGGACACACCACCCAACTTGCAGACGTCTACGGGACGGGGAAGGGTTAAAGCGCACCGCGCGATCCAAACGAAGGCACGGCGGTGGCCTGCCAGGCATGGGCGCACCATGGCTGGCAACATCAATAGGCCCGCATGGAAGCACTGAATTATTGAGCGGGTGGCCCTGGGCGGATGCGGGGCGGGCACAGTTGGGCACCGGGTGAGCCCTTTCCCCCAGCTTCCACCAGCTGGCACGCGCGCACACTTTCAAAGGGAGCCCCCCCCCCGTAACAACAGTTCTGAGCTCTCTGAATAGAATTCCGTTTCGAGCAAATGTCCGGCTACTTTGTGCTTGTTCTTTTTCGAGCGCCATCATCTCCATACACCGCATCCACTTACTTTTAGCCCCCCCCCTGCCCAGCTCTCCCTCCCCTTATCCCCCCACCCCACCGCCCTCTCTGATTTATATAAACGCTTTAACTCCGACTTCTCTCCCACTTCAGTAAAAGTTTATTGTTGTGGATGTCACAACTGATGATGATTGCTTGTGTTGCAATCAAAACGTCGTGTTTAAATGTATTTATTTTTATACTTATTTTTATTTTTTCACCGACGTGACTTTACCGAAAGGACCAAAGAGAATGGATCATTGCAGTCACGAAAACTTCAAATCTAGAATGAAATGTCCCCTTGTTTTAGAAGAGGCGATTCCTGATTCGGGCGTCTTTCTTTCTTTGTGTGTGCGGGGTTTGTGCGTTTTCTCTCTCTCCCTCTGTTCTGCGTGGTTTCCACCGCGTTCTCTGCTTTCCCACCAAACAAAAAAAAACAATGTAACAGCAATTGACCAAAATATTCCCAATTGCTGAACATTTAGCCGCAAACTACTCGTTTAGGATTATTTATCGCGACATTTCCCCACCCCTCCCACCGACTGTGCAAACACTTGGCAGGGCCCTCCTAAAAAAACGAATCTTGAGATTCAGTGAGGCTTTCCTGGGCAAATAAGCGTAACTGTAATGATAGTAAAATTGTGATCCGTCAGCCTCCGCATCATCATCACCATCAGCCATGGGCAATGCACAGCCTTCGTTCCATGTTCTGCCTTTGACGTCCACGTTTCCGTCGACAGCAGGTGGCACGCACGCACGCACGTCCGAAACACTTCCCTTCTTGAGGCAAAGGTCGTACGTCAGTGTTAGTGGTCACGCACGCCAGCCGGTCTATCTGGGACATTACGATTTTGCATTAGTTTTTTTTTTACAGAAAATGGCCTGCGGCTGAAACCATCGATCATCGCGCATGAGACAGGCGAGGGAGTTCGCCCGTGCGGAGCTTCCCACTCTCGCAGCAACGTGGAAATGACTATGTTACTATTTTACCATTTTTTTGTATTTGACCAGGTAAGGCCAACAACTGAGCTACGTAGCTCCTTTTCAGAAGCGACCTGGCCACGAATGGCAGCGCAACGAAGTGGCTCATCGTGTGGAGATGTCTAGCAGCAGCCAAAGACTCGAAACGCGTGATGTTGATTATAAACGTGGAGGGCAAGAAACGTAAGCCACGACGAAAAACCCACGTGAGAAGCTTTGAAGAACACGCAAACTCCAAAATATACAGCAGGCGTCAGGGTCAGGATCGAACCCACGACCTCCTGCATACGACGCAAGGAAGTTAACATCTTCCAAGCCGCCGCGACCAGCGTAGTAAAGACATCAAGCGGGCAGCCGACGCGAAGATCGAGGGTTGAGATCGCACCGCCGGACACATCAGTGCTCGTGCGTGGCTGCCATTGACAAACAAACAAGCGGCTGTTGTCTTGGCAGTCACGTGGCCGAGGCGATGGTTGTCGAGGTTCGCCGTTCGAGCATGGGGGTCGCCCCGGTTCGTACCGCGGGTGTCATCGTCACCCAAAGCATCACACGCAGAATCGTCACACTCAGCGTCGTCAACCACGGCATCGTCATCATCACACGGTGTATCATCAGCAACGACGTTATTAACTGCGGCATCATCATCATGACGCGCAGAATCATCATCATCACCACCATCACACAGCACCATCACACACAGCATCATCAGCACACGCAACATTGCCAACCACGGCATCATCATTATCAGCATCATCAACGACAGCACTATCATCACACGTAACATCATCATCATCATCCACGTCATCATCATCATCATCATCTTCCACGTCATCATCATCATCACCCACAGTATCATCATCATCCACGTCATCATCATCATCACCCACAGTATCATCATCATCCACGTCATCCTCATCATCATCATCCACGTCATCATCATCATCATCACCCACAGTATCATCATCATCCACGTCATCATCATCATCACCCACAGTATCATGATCATCCACGGCATCATCATCCACGGCATCATCTTCATCATGACCCACAGTATCATCATAACCGCGGTGATGTGTTTACCGTGAGGACACCGCCGGCTGCTTCACAGTGGACATTAAAGAATCCAGTGCTTATTGCAAAAAGAGTGGACTGCACAAGCACGAACGTCACATTATGTGCGTATGATGAACTTCTTTCGCACCGTACGTAGCCAACCGTGCTAATCGGAGGTGTAAATTCCTATTCAATTGCTTAATTTGGCTAAATTCCAGCTCTGAAAATTAAATTAAATACATATTGGTTTCACCCTCACGTGACGAACAGCGCACTCTCTGCAGCAGAGCGGGTGGCAAAGTGTTGCCCTCTTTCTCGAAGGGATTTCACAAGTAGTTCGGCGAGATCTACTTCTGCGGGCCGCTCCACCCACGGGCCGGGTCTCCGCCGCTCCGCCGGAGTTTCCCGCGAGGCGATTTCCTCGCGACGCCGATGACGACGGCTCGGTCGCCGTGAGATTTCCGGAAAACAATCACGGTGGGCGGCGTCCCATCTGGTTCTTAAACCATCGCCTAGGATGAAGCCGATCGATGTTCGAGCACAACAAGGTCGGACATGGAGTCGCCGAGTTACTCCGGACGGAGGCACCAGCGCCGAATTCAAAGCCACGGGCAGCGCTCGCCTACGAGAGCCGTCACGCCGAGCGTAGCACAGCGACCCCCTCGACGACTCGCCCACTGGCATCCAGCAGCCAGAACACAATGTTCGCCGTGATGCTGAGTGAACTGAATAACACGGACATGGGGGGGGGGAGGGTGGGGGGCTGGAGCGAGTTGGGGGTGGGGGGTTAGCGCTACGCTGCGCTATGAACTCCGTCAACCCGAGTTCGATTCACGCTCACGGCCAACACCAGTGACGATTATCTGAACCGGTCCTGGGCCTCCCTTAGGTCGACTCAGCCTCAAACGAGCACCTGGTGCGGTGTGTAGTAAACATCGCCACTGGGGAGAGACAAAGGCGGCCGGGCGTGGCGTTGGCCACCCACCCCCTCGAGTGCCGTACCGACCTTCATGGGTGCTCCTCGCGAACAGCACTTGCCCCAGCAGTCTGTTGAAGGCTATACGGGGGATCTTTGTCTTTGGTGGAGGAGGGTGCCTGGCCCACACCACCCACCCGCATCGCTCAAGTCGACTCCCGAACAAGACAACTTGTCCTTGGACCCGGATCAGCCAGCCCGACCGTCACACTCTGCGCATGCCACTCCCA